GTAGATTAGTATCGTGTTTTAATACTGATATATTATCATCATCGTCAGTCATCATGGAACCAAATTCAGTTGATTCTACGTCTATTTGTGATAGTTTAACAAGAGAGGGGTTTCTACCTAATATTTCTGTTTCGTTAGCGCGTTTTCTATTTTCTTCGTTGGCTAATCTTAATGCATTCTTTATTTCGTTAAATTGTTTTCGAAATTCTTCGTTCTGTCTCTGTACTAAGTCTAAAAATGCTCTGGTAAAGGAATCGAATGATCCCGTGTTATTTTGGGTTTCACTCGTAGAGGATAAACTTGTCTCGACTTTTGAGTCCTTCTTGCTGTTCATTGTTGCTAGAGAAACTAACTTTTCGCGTTCTATATTGTTTAAAAGAATCCAGACTTTTCTCACCTTGATACGTAAATTCGTAGAATGAGGTTCCTTTGCGGTGTTTTCCTCTGTGGCACGTTCAAAGGTGTTGTTTGAATGCCAAACTCGTTCTGTTGATTTGTCCTATGCTGACAGTAGTCCCGCTGATTTGATCCACTGTGGTATTATTATTGGTAACAGAGTTCACAATACAAGTGGTCCGAATCCTTCTATCTTCAATGACGTCCGTAGACCGAAATCGTAATTTCGTTTACAAGCAAATGGATCCTGGTAGGATCGCAAAAATGTCACGTAAAAATAATGAGAAAATAATAATAAAAAAATGTTGAGTTCTTGAACCAGAGTTCGAGATACCTTTATTCTATAATAAGATCACAAGTGTGCGAGTAGACCGTTACCGAAAGACTGAAACCTCGATCAAGACCCAGCATTTCTATATGTTCGTTTATCTTATGCCTACGTGCCGAATTCATATTCCTTTGTTTTGGGAATCGGTGTCGTGAGCAAGGTGGTTCAAATTTCCTAAGTCGGTTGGAGATGTTTGTTGACGTTACACGAGCGTGGTCTTGGACGGCGCCGACTATCGATGTCACGTCCCACGATCCGCGCGTCCCGTGGCGTGAAAGCGGAATCGATGGATTCCTTCACATCGAGACGGTTGAAACGTCAATTTGAAAGTATTTGAGCAGTATTTGAGGTGAAAGGCAGTTAAAGTCGCTAAAAACTATATCTTGCGAAAATCCATGTTTTTATATTTGTCTAATTATGTTTCTGTAGCGATGTTGGGACAATTTAAATTGTAAACAAAGTCGGCAGTTGAACCAACGTTGGGGATCTTCTGAAACATTTTCAAAAGAAAGACCTCGATGTTTTTTCATCTCCAACAGATATAAATAAGTGTAGCGACACAGAAAAGTAGTAATAATAATTACCGAATAATAATAATTACAGTTCGTCTATCGAATTATTATCATTTTGTTTATCGGAGACCGAGTAAGATCTGATAAGAGTAAGATAAACCACTACATATTTTAAACTTGTTTACGAGTAACTTTAATCCTCTCCCGTGCCAGTACTCCCGTGCCAGTATTCCTCTCCCGTGCCAGTATTCCTGCACATAGCAGGTTAGCCGAAAGTGGAGCTTATTACCAGTTGAATTTAACGTCAGTTAACAGTTATCTTCTCGTTCGGCAACCAAATAGAACGTAACAGTCGAGACTCATTGCGCTGATTTGCCTCTCCAATCAGCTTACCTTGTCGTACATCGAGTCTGAGACACGATTCGGTTATTAGTTGACCGCTGCGATTCGTCCGACCTCTGGTCGTATTTCGTGGATCCTATCTGCCATTTCGGTCAGGACGTTTGCGTCCGTTTCCCTTACGACGGCCAGATCCCGTTGCGTATTTGCCGGAAGACGATTTTTCCAGAGCGTCATAACAAAATCGTTCTAAACTGATAGAGTGACCAGCTTCTTTAAGTCCCTGTAGAACTTGGACGGCGTCCTATCCCCCATTTCTTCGATCTCGAGCAACTCCCGCACTCTCGTACTTTCTGAATCGGCTGGTCTTCTAATGAGTTCGCTCTTGAGCCGCTCGTATCGTCCCGTCACCGGTGAGCACTATATACTCGACTTGTTCTAAATATCGTTCCCCGAGAATCGCAACGATGGCGTTAAATTTCGTTTTGTCACTTGTGATGCGCACGGCCTCGAACTTCCAACATGACACAGCGCTATTCTTTGAGGCCATAGTGGCGGTACGCGGAATGAATGGCCAACTGTGTCTACATTGACCGTGGCGTTCGTTGCGTGCGCTTCCTCATTGGTATTTGCCATTTCGAACACAGAAATCTACAGAAACGATGTTTATGTGGCACGAACATGTTCATCACTTTCGTTTCAAATCACGTCATGGTCACCAACTTGAAGTGGTAGGATGTGTAGGGTGCCAAAGAAATACTCGGCGTTTTATTTAACAGTGTGTTTATTAACTCGACTAGCGGCTTCTTTACAACTTTCGGCTCGCGACTCGTGCGGACGACTATTTATTCACGACTCCTCACTTACGACTCTCGCTTACGACTCCCCAGTCACGACTGATCTCTTAATCCCTTTCTTTTCTTTTTGTCATCTTTCCATATCCCCACTATGCACATGTTCGTTAGGCGTCCGCGATCGTGGTCACGTACGCCTTCTTCGGAATATTTGGCGGAAGGACCGTGGGGATATCGTTGGCCCATTAGATCTGTCGACACTTACGTTTTATCGCGACCTTGTTTATGTTTCGTCGGTCTCATATACAGTCTTCCAACGATGGCATACTATGTGCCGTCGAAACTGTTGGAAAGAGAATTGTTCTTTGCGGTCTAGTGCCGCTACATAATAAAAAATAATAATAGAGATCTATACCGACGTAAAATTTTCAAAAAAGATTTTTATAGCCTGGCATATCTTGTTGTGAACGAAGTTTTCATAGATGCTGTTTATTTAAATTCGTAAAGTATAATAGAAAGATAAGGAGATCAGCGACCAATGGTTATAAATATAAACAGATCGCCACATTTTGGTGAACAAAGCGACCAACGTGTCGACTATGGCTACACTTATAACTTATTTACCAAATGTCCAGCTGGACAAATTGTAAAATACAAATTAAATAAATAAATAAATAAAACTTGTGACTTGGATTATGTCACAAATATATAATGGGCCGGATTCAATGATCTAGTAACGACAACTGTTTGCGAATATCTCGGGGAATTAGGGGACTGCGACGGTTATAGTGATTCTGAACATACAAAAGTGTTCAGAATCGTGATTTTCACAGCATATTAAAAAATCATCAAAATCTGGCAAAAAATAAAGGCAAACTTTTAAATAATTATAATAAATCTTATTCAGTAATGAAAGTAAGATGAATGAAAATTGTGGTTAACAAATTAGTCATAACATCAAATCTTGTCTGTAGTTAATTTGTTCTTCTGTTTTTACCACTGTTTTAATAGCATGCGTAATAAACGAATAAGCATACAAAACAGATACATCACATCAGAAATACTATTTGCAGCAGTTAACTACTGAAATTATTATTAAGGTAAAATTTAACTTTTGTTATAACAAAAAAATTATCGCGAGGAACATAAATTTAATGTTAAATCTAAAAAGCTACTGTGTATAGACAATATATTACAATTATTGCATCATTTCATTGATCCATTATCGTTTGAAAGAAAAAGTTTTTCTTTCTCTTCTAAAAATACATAATAAACAATTAATTTCTCTTTCTGAGTTAATTATTGCGCGATTTTGTTATTCTCATACTTATCTATATCGAATTACGGAAAATACAATTTTTCCGTAGAACTGTACAATGAAATAGACTTTTGTAGTATGGGTCCGCAGGGAATATTGGTGGAATTAATAACCTCGTTTTGGTAGAATTAAATAGGTTTTTGGATATGCTAGCAGAGAAGAAATTTTCTTTCTGATACTGGAATCAAACAAACGACTAACTTTAAACTTCCTAACTTTAAAGGTTCTTGTATATGCTAGCGTAGAATATCTGCAGTACTTGACTGCTGGCGGCAGCACTAGTCTGGGAGATCCGAAATCATAAGTATGAGCTCTCCCATTTTCTTTCTGATACTAATAGTAGGTAACATTCTGTATACATCTCTTAAGTTGAAAGAAGGTTTGAAATATAATATATTTTTCATATATACGTAGTATCTCTTCTTTAGTTTCTATGTGGCAGATACTTTTATCAATTAAGTCAGATCAAGTATATATGTACTTATGTATATACATAATTTCTATACTATACCATTCGCCGAAGCAAATTGCAGAGGGCGTAAAAAACACTGATTTTTTCATAATTGGTATTTCAGGACATAAGATACGCCGATATCCCATATAACGTCAAATCTATCCTATATTTACATACATAAACGATGGTAATACGTATGTATATTTTGTACCTTGTGCATAACTAAATGAATTATATAATTGAATGAATTATTTCGCTTGATTAATTCGAAAGATTTTATCTGCCGATTCATTATCGATAACGACACCGACATGGACGTCTCTTGTTGTCTGTGCTATCGGATGGTTAGTTTTATCGCATAAGGGTAATACAGATTACAAATACCTGAATAACTAAAAGTGTATCTCTATTTTCCGATCCAAACACACTAGAAATATCCCTGCATGAATGTAGCTCGTTATAATTGATCATTAATAATTTTATTTTCTCATCTCAAGTAACGTGTTAATTGATTCTTTGATATAATGTATTAAATAACAGTTTACATTAATTATAATACGATAGAAACCACACCAATAATTTTAGTAGGCAATTTACACTACTATTGTATACCTAGGGTCCAACAATATCGTCTTCACTCCTGGAAACGGCAGACGTGAGGCGACATGACGTTTTGTCGGTGACGCGACAACTTTCTGATATCGAACCATATCCACCGATCAAGTACATATTGTTTTACGCATTGCGCTATGATATTCCAACTATTGTTCGACGTTCAGCAATTCAGAAAATCAATCTAAAAGTAGAAAAAGTGACTAGTGAAAGTGACAGAAGTTGTGAAAGCGTCGCAGACATCGCGTGTTCGCGAACTCCGTATGACACCAGATATTGTGATACGGACTGCACACCGATAAATGCAAATCTTATGAATTCAAAGTCGCGTGGTTACTATTCGTGTAGAAATTAAGAAGACAACCGGTTGTTACTTTGAAAAATAATTTTCTGTCAATGCTGAACGTACTTTAATTTGAATAAATGATCTATTCTTTTTAAGAAGGTATTAATTCACAATAGAGTGACATATTTATTTATTATTTAAAAATGGATGAAACAAGGAATTACATAAACTTAGTATTAACAGTTAAAAAATATCCAGCGTTATATGATCTCAGTTGTAATGACTACCATAATAGGGTTGTACGAAATAAAATGTGGAGAGCTGTAGCGCAAGAAGTAAACGCTTCTGGTAAGAATTATTCCAAACTTAAATATGTCTTTCAGGTTTCCTATAAAAGTTCAACCGTATTTTTCATATCCCTGCAAATCTTTCCCGTAGCTGCAGAATGTAAGGAGAAATGGAAGAATCTTCGCGCGAGCTTCAGTAGACATTTAAGAAATCAAAATACGGCAAATTCGAAAGCAAAAAAACCATATTACATGGCCGATTATATGGATTTTTTACTTCCTTACAGCAAACTTCGCAGGTAACTGACCTATATTGACATGCAATAGAAAATCGATAACATATCACGTGATTCATCGAGCTATTTTTTCTGTTTTTCTTTTCTGTTTTCAGGCCAGATGACAGTTTGAACGAGGAAGGACCAATAGCGCAGGAGAACTGGAACGAAGAGGAGACCGCTTCTGATACGTCCTCTAATTACGAGAAATTAAACAAATCTAACCAAACGATGCCAGAACCAGAAAGAGATGGAGACTCGAAGAACGAAGAGTACACGTTCGTGAGGAGTAAAACGATGAGGCTTACAGACGACCGATTATCACATAGGTGCTTGGATAATTGTATCCTAGCCAAAAAACGAGATGTCGACGAATCGATTAATGATGCAGACTTACTGTTCTTTAAAAGCTTACTTCCAGACGTACGGCAGATGACGAGACAAGAGAAAAGAAGTTTTAAAATATCTGTATTGAATTTGATCGATAAAATACTAAACGAAAAGGAATCGGCAATGTCGATCGAAAACGATATCCCTTGCGCTATAGTAAAAAATCAACAGGATGAAAGGGTCGATCAGTTTTAAATTAAAAGACTTTATTAGAGTTTGTAATGACATGTATAAATGTATAACAATATAGACTGCCTAAATTATGTTTAATAAAATAAAATATATAAGAAGACTTGGAAAGGGTATTAACACAATTTGTGAAGAGAAATCTGTATTCTAAAATAATTTATAATTTATTGATATATTATTATCAATAAAACCGTAATAATAATAAATAATTAACAAAACCGTATACTTTACCACCAAAATAAATAACAAAATCCCACAAATACTTGTAATAATAAGAGACAGTTAGAAACAAGATACGGTCGAACGTATACAATTTTACGACTGCACCGGACTGGATAACAGAAATGGCTCGTTTCCGTTATTCCCACTCCGATAACAACTTATTCTCCTTGCTTCGTAAATTCGCAAAAGATACAGAATATGTAGAAATGAGCGGAAAGATATGCACGGCTAAAACATGTCTTGACAGAACTGAGAATCACTGAAGAATGTGGATTGGTCAATCGAAACAACGCGGTATCTTCGAGCCAACGGAAAAAACTAATGAAAATTGAGTATGCGTTGCGCCAAAAGATTTGGCTGTTTCCGGTGAACTGTCCGAAAACAACTGAATTCTGCATTCTACAGAACATTCTTAAGTGTATTGTATATACGATGCACATGCGAATGTGAACATGGTCCTTTTCAGACAAATTGTCGTTACAAACTATACTTTGCATTAGTAAGAGATCCTAAGAAATAATCGCGTAGCTTAAAAACGTGGATCAATGCGAGAAAACAAAATAAAAATCTTCTTTCAATAACAAATTACCACATTTTTGATGATCTTTTTTATTTTTCTGAACATAGGAAAATTTGCCTAAAATTCTTAGTTATAACAGGTTATAATAAAAACTAATTGATGTGTATTAATTTTTAAAATAATATAAAGATAAATATAAATAACGACTTTAGAAATCCTGAAATAGTTCTACGTTTTCATATTACTCCAACTGGATATGAAAGAATTTTAAATCAGATTGTACTTTCATTGGCGTATATCAGAATTTTTACTATTGAATGTTTTGCTAAAAAAGTGTAGGATATTTCAACCAATCGATTCAGGATCAGTTATAACGGAATATAAATATGTATACTAATTTGAATAGAAAAATGTATTATTATCAATCGGCAAATAAGCAGAATATACATCTTAGTAGCAATCAAATTTGAATATCTTTTTACGAGAAACATTTGCCGATCACCGTTTATAAATCTGCGCATCTATTCAAACAACCAAATCTTCTCCCAATTATCCAATAATTATGATGTAACATACATAAAAAATAATTAGTTTGTCGGTGCTTGAACTTATCAAGAGCAAAGTATATACACGTCACAAAGGCACACTTGTCGCGTCAATTCGTGACACAACAAAATTCAGCTCCGCGTACGACTGATACGGGCGAATCGTTGTTATACGGACGTACCTGGAGGCTGAGCGAGAAACGCGCATGCGTCAATTCGAAAAGGCCTATCAGAATAAAGCAATATCACGGTAAGGACATTGGGGGGGCTCTTGGTAGCCTTGCGCGTTCTTCCGATTCTGTAAAAGCTGGAGGCGCGTCCATTTTGTTAGCACGTACGATCCCGGTTAGTCGACGCCGGTGCAAAGTATAATTCTCGTTTGCAACGAGTTCGTGTTACTCGAGTAGAGTAAGGGCTACGAAGCCAGTGACTGTCTGTCGGCGGCGTTCGTGGATTTGTAGCTGCGTATCGTAAGTACAGAGAGCGCAGCTGGCAAGCGTGAGAACCTACTTGTAGATACATAGCGCAACAAGAATCAGAACGGAGGAGAAGCCGCTGGAAAGAGAATCGTTGTGCCAGGGCCGCGAAACGCGTCGCGTACCCGGTTCGTCGTTAGTTTTAGTTTTAGCAAGATGGCGGAACTACAGGGAACCCCGGTTGCTCAAGACGCCCTGTCCGTAGCCCAGCTAGAGCTCGGTGGAAATCCAAACGCCTTAGCTTTGCGTAGGCCGTTTGACCCTGTGGCACATGATCTCGACGCGACCTTCCACCTTACGCGGTTCGCCGACCTAAAAGGATGAGGGTGTAAAGTCCCTCAGGAGGTTCTTGGGAAACTCCTCGAGGGACTACAGGCCGACGATGGTAGCGCACAAGATCATGAACATGCCCATTTTATGCACATGGCCATTCCACGCATCGGTAAGTAGCTTGATTTTATTGCGCGCGTGTACAAGAGGATATTACGCATGTCGACATGTTTGATTTTATGTAGACATTTTATAATAATTTTATTTTTTCCTAACTTTTATTGGTTATGTTCATACAAATATTTGTTCGAACGTTTCTACGATTAAATTGCTCTTTCCAATTTTTATATTTTTTTGGCAATTGTTTTTATTAAAGAGAAGATGTAGAAATTACAATTTGTTAATTAAAGAAATTTTTCCCGGCGAAAATTTTCCATACCTGATGGTGCTGTATGTTAATATTTAAATACCATATTTTATTCATGTAATATAGTAACTAGAGATTTGTTACCCGTTGTGGGAATTTTAGCTGTAAATAAGAAATTTTATTGGAAATACCTAGGGCGCAAATATCGCAATAGGCATCCCTATCGTGTTAGCAGCCATGTTATCGTCTCCCGCCCGATTTCTCCCACGCCACCGGAAATACGAGTGTTCTCAACTTGTACTTAAATAATATATACAAAATATATATATAATATCAGAATAACTAATATGCAAATAATATATATTTTTTCGATAATGTTTTCTTATAATTTAATTAAAATACATCTATTAAAAAAAAATCATGTAAAAGAAACTTTGAAATATTATTTTTTTTCTTGTCTTTTTGAAAATAGATAAACATTAAACATTTATATTTTGCATTTCAGGCATTGGCATGGATTCCTCCGTAACTCCACTGAGGCATGGAGGGCTTAGTTTGGTACAAACTACAGACTTCTTCTACCCATTAGTTGATGATCCTTACATGATGGGTAAGATACATAACACTATGATATTTTAATTGTCATACGATTTTAATAGTTACATTTTCTATATTATATTCATTGAATCTATCAATTATAGTAATAAAATACACAGTTTCTTTATTACGGATAAAATTTGTTTTATGGCATGCTGTTTAACCACTTGTATTGGAGTATTTTTCCAGGTAAAATTGCATGTGCAAATGTTATCAGTGATCTGTATGCCATGGGTGTTACTGAATGTGACAATATGCTAATGTTGTTGGGAGTCAGTACAAAAATGACTGAGAAGGAAAGGGACGTTGTTGTACCTTTGATCATGAGAGGATTCAAAGATTCTGCTCTGGAAGCTGGTACAACAGTAACAGGAGGTCAAACAGTTGTTAATCCTTGGTGTACAATAGGTGGTGTTGCTTCTACTGTTTGTCAACCAAACGAATACATTGTGTATGTACCAATGAATGAATGAATGACATATGAGTGTACCATTCCTTCCTTAATGATGATTGTTTATATCACAGACCAGACAATGCCGTTGTGGGTGATGTTCTTGTTTTGACAAAGCCACTTGGAACTCAAGTCGCTGTTAATGCTCACCAATGGTTAGATCAACCAGATCGCTGGAACAGAATTAAACTTGTGGTCAGTGAAGATGATGTAAGGAAAGCTTATCAGAGAGCAATGGATAGTATGGCCAGGCTTAACAGAATAGGTATGTGTTAAATTGTAGTTTGATATTTTTATTAATACAACAACAGTAATTGATCTTTTTATTTTCCAGCGGCTAGATTAATGCATAAATACAATGCACACGGAGCAACAGATGTTACGGGTTTCGGCCTTTTGGGACACGCACAAAATTTGGCCAAACACCAAAAGAATGAAGTCTCTTTCGTTATTCATAATTTGCCCGTAATCGCAAAAATGGCAGCTGTAGCAAAAGCGTGCGGTAACATGTTTCAACTCCTTCAAGGTCACTCGGCGGAAACCAGCGGTGGATTACTTATTTGCCTACCTAGAGAACAGGTTTGAAATCTTTTGTTCTTTAAGTATTTTACTCTTTACAAATCCTGCTAACACAGTAGAGTATATTATTCGTCTTCAAATACTCTAAAAAACGGCAGGAAAAGAAATAGAGATTTCCATGCTGATTTGCTATTGTAGACATCTTGGTGCTGTCGACTCTCTTACAATTATTTTTTTTTTTCGTTAATATGGAAGTTATTAACGAAATATTTTTTATTGGTCAAATTCATATAATTTACATATTCTTAGGCTGCTGCATATTGTAAAGATATCGAAAAGCAGGAAGGATACCAAGCGTGGATTATTGGTATTGTAGAGAAAGGGAATCGCACGGCCAGAATAATCGACAAACCACGAGTAATAGAAGTGCCAGCTAAAGAAAAAGATGGGGAGCTTTGGTAAAGGATCACAGATGGCGAAACTTTTTTATTTACTTTCATGTATTTAGGAGAAACTACACGCAACACAGAAAACACGCATTTACATAAATCAACACTACTGTACCAGATTCAAAGCACTTATATGTGCACCATTATTATGGTGAAGTAACGAATTTTCAATATTTTTATTCAGTAAAAATTTGATTATATACAGTGATCGTCCCATTTTGTCCCACGGGTTAAAAGAATGAGATACAATAATACAAACTTATATTTACGTGTTATCTTTATTGAAGTTCAGTCTCAAGTTTTAACTTAGGAGTAACACGTTTCTTTTTTTCTCGTTTCTAATTTTTGTTGAAAGCTAAAAATATTTCATCATAAAACTGTAAAATGTTCATAATAGTCTTCCTGACAGTTATGAATCCTTATTGGAAAGAATTCAATACAAAAAACAAATTTGAGGAAGCAATGAAGTAACGAAAGAAGTGAAATTTGAGTATATATTTTTTTTAAGATTTAAGACTTAATATGTACTACATACGTACCCTGGTAGCAGTAGGCTCGGGGTAAGCTTCAATTGCATTTGATCAAACTTGCAATATGTTGAGTGACATTTGGGTGCTTAGTGTTAATAAAGGACGTTAAGGTACACATAAATGATGATAGCTCGTGATTATGGAGATTTATAAATATATTTTAAAAGGGTATACAATATTGCAAAAAAGAAAAAATGATTTTAACGATATATTGTACATTACTTCGACTTACGGATTTAATAGAATTGAAAAAGGAAACATTGAAAACATAGTTATATAGATGCAACGTTGTAAACAAGGACATTATTAACCCGTAGTACACAATGACAGGCTTTTAAGGCCAACGAGATTCCCACAATTTGTAATTTTGACCTATTGTTACATAGAATATGTAAGTTGTCCAAACGAAAAGAAGGCCTTCTCTAGTTTTCTCGTTACATACGCTTTTGAAAATAATTATAAAAAGAAATAAGAAATCGAGCACAGGCCCTAATGTTGTATTACTTTTTCATATGAATAAAGTGCTACTTTGTCAATAAAAATAATGTATTATTATTATTAAATCTTTAAGAATCCTTATATATTAAAATAAAAGAACCATTTAACGTCACAAGTTAATGTGGCAAAGTACACAGCAAGATTGATATTCTAGTAGATTATGGATGTCATGTACTTACATGCGTCCTTCAGTACAGCCACCGATCAAAGCAGAAAAAACTAGATGTTTTCATTCATTGGTTAATCAGTTATCTAACAGTTCGACAACTGGTCGCCATCGTGGCTCATAGGTCACTGTTATAGAGTAACGAGTTATATTTCAAAGAATTATAGTTACCATAACATTCTCGCGTGAATCGTCGTCAGAAGTAATAGTATAGAGCAACTTGAAGTTCAAGTGTTCAACATAAAAAGTTGACCAATTTTTTTATTTTGGTGTTTCTTTAAAGTAACGATTTAATGGTAACGCTATCCACGTGGTGTTCCAAGGCTATGGCCTTCAGGGCCGTAATACTAGGTGCCCCTGCTTCTGGTAAAGGAACTATGTCAACTCGAATTGTCAAACATTTTAAGATGACTCACATATCGAGCGGTGATAAATTACGACTTCATATGAATAGTAACACCGGTACGTTTCAAACTATAAATTTTTTGTTGTATCGTTCAATTATATCAATAAAAATGATAAAATTTTTGCGTTTGTTTTCTAAAATAAATTTGTCAAGAACAAATTTTAAATTTTAGATCTGTGTATATTCATGATATATATGTGTGTACATATATACTTTGAGATGTTTTTGAATTGTCTTTGAGATGTTTTATTTCATGAAACACGGTTAGAAAAGCGCTTATTTCTTCGATATTTCCTAAGCAAATTAAGATTGCTCTTGTTAAGTTTTGTTTAACGATTTCACGTAATAGCATCGTATTACGTTCATTGAGAACTAAATTTACGCGAGAATATTTAAATGAAAATCGTACTGTTTATTTATAAACACTCAAACATCTAGACTCGTGCACAGAATTATATTGCAACATTATTTATTGCTAGATAATGTAAATCTCTGTTGATATTTTATTGTTTCAAATTCCACGCATAATTTAATAAGTTATTGATACAAATACAGAAAATTAATCTAGCGTAGATTCATACGTAGATTCATGTTATAGAATCTATCTGTATTAGTTTATTAGGTATTTTTTGTTACTTTTATGAATTAATCTCTAATCTCTAATCCTATAAAAAACTACTATACAGACTATTTTACACATTTAATTAAAAATCAGCAAAGTAAATTACCAAAATTTTGTATAGTTTGTAACAAATTGCTTAGAAGAATACGCATTCTGGAAATAGCTAATTACGGATGCGATTAGAGTATACTTTATGCTTTTATATATGTATCCAGTATCATTCTGTCGGGTTATTTATTCAAACAGTGACAAAATACTAAACTCTTTGATATATATACGAATTTAAACAATATTCTCGGGATAAATATGATCTCTCATCGATACAATTATCGCCCGTCTCAAAGTCCGCCGTATGATTAATTAACAGAAAAATAACAATGCTTAGTATGAAACGATAAATATATGTAATCGTTATGTTAATAAATAATACGTATGTAATCATTTTAATTATATAGAATTGGGCAAAGCAGTTTCGAGTTACGTGTTATCCGGTAAATTCGTTCCTGACGATGTAATGATATCAATGATAAACAAAGAAATCGATTCGGTTGGTGACCAGAATTGGTTGCTAGACGGTGAGTAATTCAGCGTAAATTGAAATCTTAAAAACGTCACTTCAGCGTTGGGCAATACTTAATACAATTAATAACTGATTATTAGAGTTGAGATATTTTATTGCCTTTTGCGACTAATGAATGAATTATTAAATTATTTAAATACCTTCGTTCAACAATGTATAGTTGCAGTTAGTTATTTAACTATCAATTAGATCAAATATTAAATTCATTGTTTAATTATTAAATTAATTACTTTTGCGATGATTACTTTTATCAGTTAATATCCAATCCTGACGTTGAACATACAATGTATTACGGTGGCGGGTAACTAAATTCGAAATAAGTACTTGGCATTGCTACAGGATTTCCAAGAACCTTAACGCAAGCGGAGAAACTGCAAAAAATACATCCAGTGAATCTAGTCCTCTACCTTGATGTTCCCATCAAGGTGATATTAGACCGCGTGAAAAACAGGTGGATTCATTTGCCTAGTGGAAGAGTATATAACATCGGGTTCAACAGTCCTAAAGTACCGGTAAGTTGGAACAGAAACTTCGATTTGTGTCCAAATATATCATTAGTAACATGTCTAATGAAGCTTAATAATTAGATTACCTTCCCTTCGATTTAGTAACCGATGAAGTTTTTTTTTTTACACGATTTTTTATATCTTTGAGACTTTTGATCGTCCTCAACTATATATTTCCTTCGAATGACTAATATTAATTTGGTTTTCAACAGGGTAAAGATGACGTGACCGGTGAACCCTTAAGTAAAAGGGACGATGATAAGATTGAAATTGTACAAGAAAGGCTGAAGAGATATTCAGATGCAACTGAGCCTATTTTAAAATTTTATGGTAATTTAGGACTATTGAATACTTTTCGAGGTAACACTACTGATGAGTTATGGCCACTTGTAAAACAATCCCTTACAAAATACTTATCATAGTCTTAATTTGCTAGAACATATTAGTATTTTAACAGAACAAATAACGAATTAGTGCAAATCGTTTAAATTAATAGTGAACATATGCTTCCATGTGTGCTGTAAGGTATTAATTTACATACGCACAAATATTAATGGATTGATTAATGAATACAAATTGTGGAAAAAATCGATGATATATTTTTCTGTAACTTACATATACTATATATATATATATTTAACAATTGACGTAGATCATTTAAATATTTTGCATGATCATAGTACAAAATTTGTGAATTTTTACTTGTTTTATACATGTTCAATTTGATCTTTATATTTAAATATTTTCATTACATCGACACGTTAAATTTGCTAAAAGTATTTACGACAACAATATCAAATATTTTAATAAAAGTTGCGAATGAAACAAGTAATTGTAAATATAATGGTTTATATTTAAGTCCACTTACCATGCTTTATAAATATAAATTGTAAAACATTATTGATATTGTAATATAAAGGAATCAAAGAAGCTAAAGACTTATTCTAAATTGGTAGAATTTATTGAGGCTCGTATGATGCAAGTGTATTAAGGTATGATATATATTATGTTTATATTGTAATTTTAAGATGTATTAACGAAACAGGAAATAAACTTTGGAACATGATTTTTATCATTTTTTCATATTTATTTTTAACTGTACCGATATAAGAATTTTAATAACTTTTAGTTGTGTACAGACCTTAATTAATATGAGTATAATATACCTTATATATCATGCTCACATTTTCTTTTCATTCGAATATTAACTCATTTTTTTCATGATAACAATAGCTTAATGTTATATATGCTGTTAACTCTTTGCACTCAAGGACTTTTTCGGTCGGGCGTAGCAGCTAGTAGAGATGATTTAGCGTATACGTGACGCGTGTCTTACAGCTAGCGTAAAATGATTTTATATACAAATTAACTTACAAAAACATTATATTCTAATGCTTTATCTATATTTACAACTTTGAAAATATGATTTTGTAATATTAATCCCCGTATCTCTTTTTGGTATGATAATTTATAAAGATTTCACCAAGGTGCATTCTTGAATGCAATTTATCTCATTTTTCAACAGTTCAAAATTAAGTTCATTTTCATTTGAGCTAATTTCACTTACGAAAATCATCTTTTTAGGGTTTTTAAACTATTATACTTTCGCCATGATCTTCGAATGCGAACTAACGTTGGAGACGTTATTAGAACTCTAGTTTCGGCGGGATATGAGATTAAATATTTTATCTCCATTTTAAAGTCTAACATTTTACATTTCCTAACAAAGAACGTAAAGAGCTAGGGAACCAATTTACGAACTAATATTGCACTCACATCAATTGGAGATGTCGAAATCTAGCATGAACAGGGTCTGTCGTCTTTCGCTTACCACTGGAGTTGCAGCACGGAACGCCGTGGCGACTGAGTCACCTCTCGAGTGCAAAGGGTTAATTACATGTTTCTCTTTCATAACATAAAACGTTATGTCAAACATAGTGATGCGCTTTGGGAACTTAGTATAAGTTCAATATAGTCGTCAAACGAAAATTAGAATACATATTAAATAAATAAATAACTTAAAGCTGTGTTATGAAAAAGAATTTAAATTAATTGAAGCTTAAATGTTATAACAGGTAGATATGGTTAAATATATGTATAATGTGCGCTGATGATTGCACACATACACACACATTTTTGACTTAAGCACACAACGAAATATACTCAAGTTGCTTTTGCAAAAAATCTAAGAGAAATCTAATATTGCTGTGTTACAAAATAAGCTATGTCAGGAACATTTCCGTAAGGAATTAAGAAATTTTTATAAAAAGTACTCTTTATAACAAAATCGTCAACTTACGATCTACGCAAGTTCTTGACGTGATAATTGCGTGAAAAAGAATAAATATCTTCTTGGTTATGACAATTCTAAGTCATATAGTAAATCAATATCCTAACAAATATTTAAAAGCAATAACTTTTGAGATCAATAAACAAGATAAAAAAAATTGTGCAACAACACAACGATATACAAAAGCCGCATTAAATTATGATCACAGAAATAAAGTATCAACGATAACGCTAATTTGAATCTATAAATGCATTATCGCGAATGGAAAATATTGATATATTAATTCACGTCAGTCATTTAACGAGCACGTTGAGATCTAAAGATCATCTTGCGGCATAAATTCATTTTAGAAATTAATACTCAACTCTCTAATATGCAACGTTGTCATCTGCTAAAGTCGTCAATTGATTTCTTCCTTGTACATATATGGACGAATGAAGAGAGAATTATGATTAATGACAAACATTATCATTCTTCTCAAAAAACTATCCATGAATGTTTTTTAAGTACATGATATTTCTTCTTTAATGTCTATGATAAATATCTCACTGTACTAGTTCAAATTCTTCGCACTCGTCAAGATCATCATCATACGTCCCACTACCTGTAAATGAGGCAGTAGTGGGAATTATGTTTTCTGCAATTTCAATTTTTTGTTGGAGATCTTTCCCGCTCCCTTCGCAAAATAAAAACATCGGATAGTCGACTTTCTCATCTTCCGGCACCAAGTACTGTAATACCAAAAATATATCATTGGATTTAGGAATTATCTAAAATATAGAACAATGATCTTCATGAGAATGACCATACATACAGAGGGAGCAATCTCCATAAAGTTTGTAAATTGCATTTTATTATGAAAATAAAATCCAACACAACAACTAGGATCCATTTTTGATATTAACATTTTTCTCGGTGAAGTACAATGAAAACTCGTCAAAGGAAAATTATCTTTTAATACATCAACAGTTTCTTGACAATAATGTGGGTCTAGATTAATTAATTTATCTTCCTGGAAACCAATAAAATAAAGCGAATGGCGAGGTCGGCCACCGATAACTCCAATACAGGTATTTAGCGTAAGTAAATGTGTTAGGCAAGATGCATAAACAGGATTCAATTTGTCAGCACCAAGCCTTAAAGGTACAAAAAGTATAAGAGATTTCCACTTGCCATCCGGCATTTGGCATACATTTTCTACATCTTGCAGATAAACTGTAAAAAGATATTATAAATTAGGTGTTGGGAGTATACAGAAAAATTCCTATTAAATAATATTATTCAATTCAAATAAAAGGAATCTCAGCTGCTGTATCACCTGCACAATCTTGAGCAACATAAACAGCCAAGTTACTAAATACTGGATGTCGTTCTGCTGCTTGTTCTACTGCTTGGCTTAAAAGATGAGCTACAGAGGAAGGTCCATACCAATCTCCTGCACGTTTTCCCCACAGGGCACCCAAAGAAACAAGTGTATGTATGGAAAATGGAGATGTGCTGTCTGGTAGATCTCCAAACGATTTAATTATTAACCTGTGATTATGTTCATCCAATTTTTGTTGTTCTGTTTTTAGTGGTTGGTCTACCTGCCACCGCCATTCTATAGAGAAAATAAATTATTCTATAAAAAGATTATAATATATATAATATATGTATAATATGTATACTCAATAATTATTGTATTGCAATTTATAACTAAAATTTATGATGAAGATAAGTGCCTCTTCCAAGAAAATGGCAGACCAATGCCTGTGCCAACATCATTTGACCACTACGTAGCATACATCCCCAACCACAGTCAGTGGTAAATGTAGAACCATTCAATATAGGAAATTCCCTTCTATATGTTAACCAAAGACGCGAGGTGAAATCCTTTTTAAATTCCTCTATGCCATCTTCAAAACTAATAGCATCCATAGCTAAAGATATTTCACTTCCAGTGTCTAAAGTCTTTTCAGCTTCGGAAGCCTTTTCCAAAAATTCTTCTGGCTTTTTGCGATAAATTTTTCCAAGTAAGCATACTGGAGATTCTTTTGAGAAATTTGGTTTAACTACTTTGATGGTCCAGCCTTCAAAGAAATCAAATCTAAATGAGATTTGTTGCAATATGCACATGTGTTAGCACGTTTAATGTGGCATATAAAATTGAAGGATGGTGGCAGGAATCAATTTTTCTATAACATGTACATTCATGTTTTCTACATTGAATGTGTTAACTAACTATGAAATTGTTTCACACTAACCATATTTAACATTATTCCACATGGATAATAATTTTGTTTTGACTTTGCTATCAACTTCTGTACTAACATTGGAATCATCCATAGGTAGTTCATTGTTTGTAGTAGCCGCTAGTTGTATGTTTGGAACACGGTCAGTGGCAATAATCCCAGAGAACAGCCCTATTGTACTGTTAGTAAAACCTCCTAAGAATAAGCGACATTTAACAAATCAATGGTTCATATATTTCTAAAACTTTTTTTCTTTACGACCAATTATACGAAAAAGTTTGCTTAGTGGATGAAAAAAGAATGAAGTAGGATCACTAAGAATCATGATCTAGATTTTACTAATAAAAAAGGTATGATTAATGAACAGAAATCTCCGTTGCTCACAACTATGAACAATCAAGGAAGAAATCAATTACTAGGAAATTTTTATGCGTAATTGACTCGCATTAAATTCGACACTTACCTAACCTTTCCCTGGAGGATTGCACCTGTCCATTCATGCCCAACAAGTAAATTTTAGAAAGCATGTATTTCAAGACATTTAAGTACCGCACAGAAAGGTGATTACATTTTTGTATGAATACGATTTTGGTTACGTGGACAGCGCACACAACCACAGTTTTATCGCATTGCGTACGATCTGGTTACTATTGTCACAGAAGAATTTAACACAATTATGCATCGGTTGATGCACACGCCGAGCTCAACACAAAGCTCATTACCAGCCTACTGTTAACTTAACGCTTCATTTCCTTCAAATGAAATACTAGGTCCGTAAGATACTCTACAAGAATAATTTGTTTTCTTAAAGATGGTGGTCAACTTGAGAATAAACGAAACAAGTGGCGTATCATAAAGCAAGCGATCAAAAATAGTATAAAGACACACTCGAGCCGTCGACAGGGAAGGACGCGTGTTTACAAAGAGCGTGGTGAAATTCAAAGCGCCCGTTGATAACTTCACCAGCGCCGTATTGTGGTAAAATTAAACATTATAAAAGTGCATGCAAGTGCATCGATAGAATGCAGGGACAAGCAAGGATTGCGCTGCCCAGATCTGATTTCGAAATGGTGGTATGTATCTTATCAAAGAATGCACACACTTGAGGATGCTTTAATTATTTGAGCAAATAATGTAAGAATATATGATCGATAATTCCTTTCTTTCCAATATACAACAATTAAGTTGTATTTATCATATGTACTCTTCTTCTATCAATAACATTTCATTAATTGCTACAATGGTATTTTATGAGTTATAAAAAGATATCAAAACAATTATTTAAAAATAAGTTTATAACTTATTATCGTATATAGAATAGATACACTATATTACTGGTAATCATAACGGATCATGGTTTTCTGTTTATTCATTTTCATTTTACGGTACTGCAAATACCTATCGCCATTTCATTAATTCTCCTTTCGAGAGTCTAACAAACATTGTACCGTGTTTACCCGGATTTTAAAAAATCCCACAGCAACAGCAGAATTTACCTATTAAACAGGCAACCATTTATTGAATAAAAACCGAGCAAGGTCCACTGTGATCTGTTCAACTCATTCAAATGATTAATTAACAGATTACCTCTTTCGTTTAAAATTTCCTTTATGTTACTATCATGGAGAGTTGGCGAGTTGGAAAGAAAGAGAACACAGAAAGGGAAAATCGTAATGTCACTATTACACGATGAACCTCGTCATTTCTCTCGTCTCGTTATTTTCACACTTTTTTAATTCTAATTGATTAGCAGCCGAAATAGAAAGGGGAAAAAAATGTTGAAACCACGACTGCCACCAGCAGAGTAGGATTAATGGAGAAATAACGGAGCGCAACCGGGGTACATTATCCCTTTTCATTGCAGTGTAATAATGCACTTTTGTCAGGAAGGACCGACAGAGAGGAATACAGAGAAAATCAGGTGGAAAAGAGAAGCGAGAGGAGCGAGGGTATGTGATGAACGGTGAGACGAGGAGTTTGGATGTTCCATGGTGGGAGCGCGAACGAGCAGGACAGAAGGTTTGAAGAAAGAGACGGGGGACGAAAATCGCGCGTATGACAGAGAGAGAGAGAGAGAGAGAGAGAGAGAGAGAGAGAGAGAGAGAGAGAGAGAGAGAGAGAGAGAGAGAGAGAGAGAGAGAGAGAGAGAGAGAGAGAGAGAGAGAGAGAGAGAGAGAGAGAGAGAGAGAGAGAGAGAGAGAGAGAGAGAGAGAGAGAGAGAGAGAGAGAGAGAGAGAGAGAGAGAGAGAGAGAGAGAGAGAGAGAGAGAGAGAGAGAGAGAGAGAGAGAGAGAGAGAGAGAGAGAGAGAGAGAGAGAGAGAGAGAGAGAGAGAGAGAGAGAGAGAGAGAGAGAGAGAGAGAGAGAGAGAGAGAGAGAGAGAGAGAGAGAGAGAAGGAGAGAGAGAGACACATACACACACACAGGAGGAAACTGTCATGCGCGTCTTGTCACGGAATAACCAATGAGATACGCGTATCCCGGCTTACCTCATTGATTACCACGTTCGCGCTCGTTCTAAATTTTACATCGCACCCGTCGTCGTTGCAAAAATATGAATCGGTGCCTCGTGCCGGTCATCGGTGCTCGTAGAACCAAGATTGATGGAAGGAAATGGAACGGTGTGTCTGTCAGGACAATAATTTCCCTCTCCCGACTAGTGTTACATTAACAATAGTCGGTAGCAGGTGTATTGAAAGCACCGTGGCAAATCTCTGCAAAGAAGTGGGGTGATGCAGGAAAGTTTGGAGAGGGGAGGGCCGGTACCACGGGATAATTCGAGGAATGGCGGAATGGGGCGAGAGTGCAGGGAAGGGGAGTGTTTCCCTAAAGCTGGCTCATCGTACCTAAGCATATGCATACACACATATATATATATACGTATATATATATATATATACGTATACGTGTGTCAGATAATAAAAGCAGAGACAATACTGGAAAATCAACAAGGGGATACACGTAGCGGGGATAATTATTTGTAGAATAAGTATAACTCGGTCTTGTGTTTAGACTTGTCTTGGGGAGTTGGGGTAGGGTGACAGAAGAGAGAAGTGATAGGTAGGAGAGAGTGGGTAGTGGGACGGAAATTAGGTCATGCAAGAATATTGGCGGACCGACGTAATCACGGTGTACGGCTTAAATAAGGACATTAACGGCGAGTTCTTAACGCTTCTCTCCCTTAAGATCCTTTTTGATCGGATTGTGGTTTGATTGACAGATGAAGAGTGTGGTGAAGGAGTCATATTCACTGGCAATCAATCCGCCATCTTGTAATGCGCCGATCGAACCGAAGATCGATGAAGCAAAGGTCATTCGAAATCGATACCCGAAATAGACAGGATTGGGGATGTAGAATTGAACGCTCACCAACGGAGATCGCTGTCGCAACAACGGCAACTCTCTTTGGGTACAGAGAGACTCATTAGTTGAGCTATATTTCTGTCCGAACGGCGAGCGTGTAAACATGCAACGGGCACGTAGGATGTGAGACGCGGAATAGTTTTGCGCGATATTAGCTTGACGGAATCGATAAATCGACTCCACTTCCGATTTTGGTAACGAGTCGATACTGCGTCGCTAATTGAAAGTCTTTGCCGTTCGATAGGTGGATCTCCATCGAACTGCTAATCCAGGAGTTGCAATAGTAAATGACGAAAGTGCCAAATGGAAGTGGAGATTTTTCTGGTAAACAGAGAATGTATATTTGTTGATTTTATGTTGTTCAACACTTAAACGTAGAACAAATGGCAAATCGGGAGTTTCTGCCACTTTCATTTTTTTCAATCACACTAAAGTTGGGGCTTAAATTTTACTTTTGTTTCAACTTTTTACTCTTATTTAGTTTAGAAGATAAAATAAATTATTCTAATACTCACAATATTTAATATCGTATTCATCACACAATATATATTTTTCCACCAAAAAGATTGTTTTTTATCTTCTTAGGAGACTCGAGAACAATAACATTGTTTATGTTTCATATTGGACGCAAATATCGAACCAGTTGAAGAACACGTTGCTTCGAAATGCCGCTCGAAACTCTGACTGATAGAATTAATCTGGAGTTTCATTATTCTAGGTAAAATAGTGAAATGGCTGGCTAGCGAATGGCCGCGTGGAATAAGGGGAAAGGCAACCGGAAAGAAAATAAATCGTTCGCGAAATACATGACCCCTGCGATTACATGGAATGGGGGCCACCAATGTGTACGAATTAGTGCACGCTAAGTTAAAACAAACTGGTGAAATTCGTCGAGTCAGGGGAACGATTGATTAATAACCTGGCGCAGCTGTTCATGGGTATTCGCTCGGTAAAAAACCGCTCTCGCGTAAAGAGACCGTGAAAGATTGGCAAAGTTTGCGGAAACGAGGCGGCCGAAACGAAACTTCGGCTATGCGAGTTCGTTCTGCAAGGATGAAAATCTAATATCGATTGGAGAGACTAGATGTAGATGCTTACCCATATGAAGAAAGTGTTATCAGATTACTTCATAAAAATGGGCAAAATATTTGTGAACAGTAGATAGTAGAGTACTAGAAGGTTATCATCATTAATTAATTAATTATTGGAAATAATCATTATTACTCCCATGGTTAATTTTTATTGTCTATGAAACGGTTAAGGCAGAGGAAAATGCGGGTAAATGGAATATATTTAATTCGATATATTCTCATAAATATGAAAGATATTAAAGTATAAATGTTAAACGTGTTAAAACATCTAAGATGTTATAACTGACTAAATAATCGTATCTTACTTTATGATATTAAGATTTTATCCATTTTGATAGAGTAATCTGATAATTATTAGTAACGTTCCATAGCAACGTTATCAGTAATGTTCCAATAAAATGTTAGTAATGTTCTATTAGCAACTACGTTACTAAAATTTTTCAATCCAACGTATCTAATCTTATCCCGATATTTTTCCACGAAAAACCTGCCATTTCATCTCTCTTAGAATATTCCACTGATTCTACGAGTGCTTTCTCTCTCTCTCTCTCTCTCTCTCTACGTGTCTAATAATAATTTCATTGCTAATTTCCGCATCGTTTAAGGAGATTGTTCGAATCCCGGGCGGACGTTGAAGGAGCTGGACCGGAATATCCGGCGAATTAGAGGAGCCGAGCTGACCGTGCCAGACCGAGGATTTCATTTTAATTAATACATCGTGCCGTCGTTGTCAAACTTTTTGACGTGCCATCGTGAAAGCTGCACCGCGTTTAAGGTATTATTTCCAACGCAGTTTATCCTGGCTACAGAATAAATCCTGCAGGCGACGCGACGCTTTTCTCGACATGTCACGTGTAAGGCGCTGTTTAAGCTATCGCGTGTGCAAACGGCCCGGAAGGCACCAACCAAGGACAGAATCGTATATAGCTTCTTTTGTGCTCATCCATCTTAGAAAAACCTGCAAACAAGATCGAGTGCCGTTCCGAGACAGATTAGAGCGTTTGTTGCTTTCATCGTTTCTGTGGGAAGTCATTCGCTGAAAACGTCATTGTTGCGGGAAACGGACGATTATATTGAAAATTGTTGACAGGTTTTTTGATAATTCGATCGTAATTCCTCATAGTTGCGTCCAGATGTAACTAATGTTCCTTGATCGACGATGGCCATTTCGGTTCAACCATCGTACGATTCGATCCTCTCAACCTCCGACCGCGAGTGCACCCGAAGAGACGCTACTCGTCGTTCGATCGAGCACGCGAGAAAATTTACACCGAGCAATGTTTGTTACTGATGCACGAACTGAGAATTTCTGAAAGACCACTACTCCTTCTTCCTTCTGTGCCACGAAGAAACTCGTCGAGCGTAAAAATAACTCGGTGTAACCCTTTCGTGGCCCGATCGAGCTCCGTTTTAGAAATAAAATACACAACGTTTTATTCGTAGCTTTTTACGATCTTAAAAGCTAACGACTTTTTTTTTTTAAATTTTCCATTGGCGCTGCGCGGCGCGGCGTCCAAAGACGTCTCGAGGACGTCTGTATTTTTGAGACAGTACACGCGATCGCGATCGATCCGGGCTGTTTGCTCGTTCCAGACGAGAATCCATCGTGTCTCGTGAATTACGCCGTGTTACTATAATTTGCAGGCGCACGTGACGCACTCGTCATCACCGATGCGATGATTGTTGTAATATTGTTACAGCGGCGAGTTAACACGGTGTTCAAACACGGCACGTCTGCTGTGACGAGTGTTCAATTTGCAGAATTAATTATTATCGGTAGGGCGGGGGCTTATGTGTACGACCAAGAGGTGTTTGCAAGGTGAACTCGCGTTTCTTTTCTTTCTTACGCATCGTGTCGCATCTTTGGTTCGACTTCTCCTGTAAGTCGATTTGAAAGGTTTACAATGGATTTGCGTTATTATCGAGGGAATTTACATAAAAGGATAAACTTATATTATTGTGTGTCGTAAAAAGTGTTAACCCTTGAAAATTATTGTTAGAAAGGAATTTCATCTTAATACAATTTCATTTTTATTTTAGAAATCGCTGGAGTCAAATAAATGCAATTCGATATTAAATGCGAGGTAGAAAAGATGGTTGCTAATAACATCGCTACGACATCATTACCGAAAGATGATGTCAAAAGAAAACTCGCACAACGCAAAACGTTACCAAAAACGATGTAGCAATGTCCAAGAGTTAAATTTGACTTCGTAAACCTTGAAACATTGGAAACGAACGATTCTAATCTGTAAAACGACTTTAACATAGGAACGACGCCAATTTCTACGCAAATTACCTTTAATACGTTCCAAGTGACCACGACGGAAACGTTTGAAACTGCAAGCAACGTAACGTCACGCGGAAAATCGAAAAGTCACGGGAAATTCGGGGATGCGAGAAGGTGATGGAATATCGAGTTGGAAAAGGACGAAACGAAACGCATATATAGCAGCTCGATGGATCGTCGAATGGGGGAAAGAGGGGTGCACGGTGGTGGTGAGGGTAGTAGAGACAGAGAAGGGAAGAGAGAGCGCGCGCGCCAGTGAAAGAGGAAAAGCAGGCAGGAGATACGGGGCGAAAGCAGTGAGGGTAGTTCGGCCGGCCGGCCAGTCGTGCTGTGGCGGCAACCACGACGCGTAGTCGCTTCACGTTTACCCGTCATGTTGCCAAACAACCCCCTCGAGAACCCTTTTAACACCTCGATTACCGATTCGCGGAACGGATGAGATAAGAGGCGAACGAAAGATCGGGTTCAGACCGGGTTGATCGAATCTAGGGCACGACCACGATGTGTACGGATCGTTCGAATCTCGGATGCACCCTTCTGGACCAGTATCCTGACCTCCACGCCTAATATCAGCTGGTATAATTCGTCGTCGAGCGGTCGAGTTAGTGGGATCGTCCTGGTTTCGTTTGTTCGAGACGCGTCACCGCGTGGTTCGAGATAAAGTAAGGAATTCGTGCTTGATTTCTCGAGATTTGTGATCTTCCTGTCGGGGGTAAGCAAAAGTACACCCGCAGGAGGGATTTTCGAATCGTTGATGGTGAATCGAGTCTCTGCTACACGTGTAAGGGGTGGTTCGCGAATCGATCTCGGGGTACAAGTGGTTCTGCTACTAGAAGTAGGAAACGTGTTCTCGCGTGAACAGATCGGCAGTAGCTGGTAGTTAATCACCGAACAGTTTCCCTCCGCCTGGTCGAGGAAAAGCCCTGGATATCTGAGGATCATCCGAAAGGTGGTAAGTAGCAAGGGATCCAAGCGTCGGAAGAAAAAAGGCTTACAAGGTCCGTCAAGGACAAGATATTCGATCGTTGCCACTTTTCTCGCGGCTGCATGTCGCACCGAGGCCGATCCTTGCCACCCGCCTCGGATAACCTTGGTCTACCTAAATCTCTAAGTTAGACATAAACCATCGGACGCGCGTGATTAACGGGAACCTTTAGCATTCTCTCTCCTTCTACCTATCTCTCTTTCCGTTGCTCTGTTCTTTCATTTCCAAGGTATTAGGCGTGACTTTGTTCGACACGACTCGTAAGAAAACGGGCGATACCTAAGGATCCACGAAGAATCGCGAGGCTGATCGATCGACGATCGTGTCTTTGATTTTTCAATATAGATCGGTAATCGCTTCGGAGGCAATTCGAATAGGAAGAAGCAACGTTTGACCGTGCCGATCGAGCGAAGCGGCCATTGATCGAGGGATCGTCGAAGATTCAACCCCTTCCGGCTGATTTCCTTGGCATCTGAATTTGGCTACGATGCAGGGGTGGTAAACACGTCGTGCTCTTCTCACTGGGAAGGAATTATCGATTCGATACGCATCATATTTGCACGCGGCGGCGGTCCGGGGCTAATTATTTCCGAACAGAGAGGGAAACCGACGCGGCAGCGGTGGCGAACGTCGCGTCGGGCGTCGTTGTCGACTGCGTGTCGCCAGCGCTTTTTCCGCGCCGCGCAATGAATGAAATAGAGAGATCGTTATTTAGGTCAGCCGGCAATTTTCGTACCCGAGGCTTTTAAGCGTCCATCTAAAGAGTTTTCAGGCGGGGCACGATAACGCTAACCCGCACTAAAAAACCCGTGAACAACCGCTATGGATTTCCTCTTCCTCTTTTCTTCTCTTTTTTTTCTCTCCTCTCTTTCGCTCGTTACACGTCTGACCGTTCCATACTGGAATTCTACGAGACTCACCCCTCGGGTCGTAAGTTTAAACTTTTTCCTTTCGCCTGCGCTCGGCACAGAGATCCTTTGAGGGTAGGCGTGAGCGGTGATTGCTCCTCGAATCGAGCCACCGGAGTCGATTCTCTGAAGCTTTTTCCTAGACTGAAACGGAAAAGAGGGGCCCGGCAAGAAGATTCATGTTATTGGTCGGATAGATAATCTTTCTACCTTTCCACTTCCGGTTATGTTATGTATATTCTCAATGGAATTAACTCGAGAATTGTCGGGCCGGCCAAAACGATCAGCCTGGAATTCATTGGTGAGAATTTCGTAGATCTATCATCATACACCACGTATCGCCTACTTTTCTCAATCGCCACTTCGGGAAATTCACAACAATTTCGATAATATCACAATAACGAGTCAGTATTAGTATTTATATCGAAAAATAGGGATATCTCGGTGTATTACTCTTGCAGTACTATATTTGTTCATAATTCCTCTAACATTATATTAAGCAACTGCAACTTAATTAACAAACGTATTATACGACGTCTGCATAAGATTTGTCTGAATTTTGCCTACAAGAATTTCCGATTTTACTATTTCTGTAGCCTGTTGTGTTGCGAAATGTTATTTTCTTAAAATTCATCAGTTTTATCATTCTACACGATGGAAGAATACAATTTTATTAGCGTAACAATTGCGTTAATTGTTTTTAAATAATCTTGATCTTTCCATGCTAGAAAAAGATCAGGAAACATAAATAACAAAGAGTTATCTCTCAAGCCTCGTTTAGATAAGCTATGTTATCTAAATTCAAGCAACTTAACGTCACTTAACTGGTATGAATCAGTTATTTATTTAATTTGAAATATCTTTTCAAGTGCAGTTAAGGTGTGTCCAAACTATTTTTCGACTTCAAAGAAACAATAACTGTTGCATAACATAATGTGAGCATTTCTTTCATGTACCATCTTCTCGAATACCATTTTAAATACCCATCCCCATAGCCAAATTTGGAAAATTGCACGATTTCTAGATGAATCGAGGCACGAATGTTAGGTTTAGAGAATTCGACAGCCCGAAATCATTTCGTGTGCCGTGAAAATCAAATGTAAACTAACTTTGATAGTCGTTGCCACCTAAAATCATCGGTTAGTCGTGAAAAGAGTATTCGATGTGGTGATTACGTATACTTGGCGTCTAAACTAGCATCGGATGGCAAACGATCGTAAGTACCCCTCGACGATGAAACGCGGGCTTTTCGTTACAGTCTTTCATCGAATGTCGTGCTGATCGATCAGCCTTCTAACGAGCTCTTACCAAGGATAATAAGAAAAATTTACTGGGATTCGCCGATACGGATAATAACAACAACAATGATAATAATACTCGTAATAATGAAAGAAAAAGGAAGAAAAGAATGAAACTGCATGTCGAGTTTCGAGATCGAGAGGCAGGCAAGAAGAGACAAAGAAGGAGAGACAGTAAGAAAGACAGAGACCTTGTCCCGATGACGCAGAGACCGACTGATAAAATAGTAACAAGGCCGGCAATAAAGAGGATACTGGCGAAGAAAGGGAATCGTTTTCAGGAAGGCGAACAGGATGCTGTGATCGAGAAGGGGGAAAGAAGGAAGCTAAGAGGAACATCGAGAAGAGTGGAAAGTTTCCGGAACCGAAGGGAGATAAAGGGATAGGTCCTAGTGGTGGAGGCACAATTGGGAAGAGAAAAGTAATCTCGGCGCCCACAAAAGGGGGTGAAATAAGTATCCTCAGGCAGTAACGTCGGTAGAGAGATAGATAGATAGATAGATAGATACATAGAGAGAGAGGGCGGGAGGAAGGAAAGGAAGAGGAGGGTGATATTGATTTGTTTTTATTGCTCGCAGACACGCGATAACCGTGGGGAAATGTGTGTCAGAAGGCGACGAGCGAACAAAATTTCTCGAGGGCGACCCTGAAAACGGAGGTATCGCTCGCTAGGAACTGGAGGTTGTTGAACGGAGAAACAATCCCGACGTTCCTACGAATGGCGAAACGGTGGAGAAACGGAGCTATAGAGAGCTGGTAGACGAGCAGCACGTCGCTCGAGACGATTATTACGGAAGATAAGGTCACCACAAGTCGAAGACTCGATTGCACAAATAACGAGAGCGAAGCTGAGGGGCGGTAAGCGGTGCTATTGATTCGCTATCGTAAGGCAAACAGACCACAGACGCGACGAGAAGATCCGTCTCCTCGCGGATACAGCCTTTCCAGTTTCGTCCGCTAAACACCGTTACCACATTCGATGCTGGATTAATCGACATTCTAGCAATTGCTCGGATTCTAGACCACGTTACAGACAACCATCGCAATTCATGCACTGACTATCTTGGTACGTTCTGTAGCTCGATTACCGTACCATCGCGGCATCGTCGCTGGGCTTTAATATCGCGTCCGAGAAACGACGTTTCGCTCCCTCCTTTTTTTAACCGATGCCTGGGAAAGCCTGGCACCATCGGGGTCTCGAGATTGAAATAACCGCGACGAATCTTAACCGCGTTATACAGAATCCAGGCAGCGGATTCGATATCGATTCGCGAGTTACAGAGCGATTGGGGAATTGGATCGGCTAATCCGGAAACTTCGCTCCATCTAGCGTCGATCGAAAGTCTTTGGTCCGCTTTACGGTAGAATCCCGTTGCTGTAGCGTCGCGAAAGCCTTCCAATTAGAAGTCGGTGCGATCATAGTTCTACCGTTTCCAGATCAGTTTCCCCACGCGCTTGTTATATCCGATCTGAACAGGCCACTATTCCTTCTCGTCGACGACTCAAGCCACCAGGGATTAAGAAAACGTGAAATTAGCGGTAGAATCCATCTGCATTCTCTTCCGAATCCGTTCGGTGAAATCATCTCCCGGCACACGTGTCCAACTTGTTCGTGTTCCAAAAATACGTGCACCAGAAGGCGTAGCGACATCCCTCAAGCCGAAAGAGCACCATCAAGCGGTTAAACGCTCGAATTAAACGGGATAACGAAATCCAAATACCACGAACGTACAAATAGGCGATGGGAGATAGAGTGACCAAAAGGGCGAAAGAGCGACTGTAATGAAGGAGACAGCGAGTGGAAACAAAGAAGAGGGTGGCCGTTCCGGTAACGGACTCTGAGCCGTCCAATGGACGAACGACGTCGAATCGCGTGGATGACAACGCGATTCATAAACGCGCGCGTACGAAGAGCCGAGGTTAAACGTTGGCGAAACAACATACTGGCGACGCGACATCGTAAACGGGGGTGAGTCTCTAAATGAACAGCAGCGGCGCCTTCGTCGACGAGTGGAAGGAACGAAAAGTCGAGGAGTAGCAGAGAGCTTCGGGTACTTCAAAGAAAAAAGGGGTGAGACAGAGGAAGACGAATGTGAAACAGAACGAGAAAAAGGACGCGGAATGGATAGAAAGAGAGGGAAAGAGTAGAGGCAGGTGGGGAGGGAGCGACAAGGAACGTGGCATGAATTAGAACTCATTTGGTAAAGTGTTGCGCGTGTAGCGAGTTTTGAAGAGGACGTTGTCGGGGGTGGTTCAACGTCGGTGGCCTAGAGAAGGAGGAGGTTGCTGTATTAAAGGCGAGGAGGGTTGCCGAGTGCAGAGAGCGAGGGTGGCGGAACTAAAAGCGAAAACGAGGATGAGGAGAAATAGTGAGTGTGATATGAGGAAAAGAGGAGGGTTGGGGTGGAGCTGAGAGGAGGATAGAGCGAGAGAAACAGAACGACAGGGGGAAGAGGGAAAAGGGAAGAGAGAAAAAGGTGAAGGTGCTGGACCGTATCGCGGAAACTCGAATCTTCCTGACAAGTTGAAGGTACAAAAGAGGGAGAGGCAGAGTGAATCAGACGTAGCGACCGGGCAATACAGGAGAAGTAGAAAAAAAAGGTAGAGAAGAAATCAGAGGAAGAAAGAGGAACGGAGAAAAAGAGAGGTGTGGCGTGGAAAGGTTGGCGAAGAAACAGAGGAACAGCACTTTACCGGTTCTCGCTTCACGCTCAAAGAAAACGGGTCGACTTTTCGAGCTTGTACGACTACCGAGTAAGTAATACCCTTTAATCAACGACTGGGAGAGGAAGACCGGAAAGTTTATATTTGGAATCGGCTACCGTGGATCTGTACAGGGTGCGCGAAAAGTACGGCCGTCGAACTTGAGGGCCGGCTGCTTTACGAAGAAAATGATGCTTTTCGTCCGGAGAAACACGCAGTGAAACTCCATTTATCTGAACTCCATTTATTGGAACGAAATATCAGATACTGCTCGGTTAAACTAATTCCTGCTCATTGACTCCACTTATCTCAATGCAGAGTTCTACTATATAACAGAATTTTTATTATACTTTAATAACTTTATTTATTTCAACAAAATTTTAATTAGCGTCCGATTAAATAAACTCCAACTGATCGAAATCCACTTATCCAAAAGTGAACTCTTTCAAAAAATTGCAATCATGGGGAATCAGTGAAACTTCTATTATATGAATTCCAGTTATACGAACTGTTTGAATCCCCTGACTATCTGAATCCCTCGATGGATTCAGATAAATGGAATTCTGCCGTAAATCGAACGTGTACATACGATTTCGAGCGGTCCAGTCGACACGAACTGCCATTTAACCCACCCTAGGCCGATCTCTAGCTAAAAGACAATCTTCAGAAACCGACATATCGATGTTCTTACGGTCTTGTTTACGTATTATTCACTTTTCACTCTATCTTACAGTCGTTAACCACTTTTCAATTTTACACAATTTTTAATTTCTCTGCTACACTTTTTCTGCGCGATCTTATACCTCCAACTGTTTTTATAACTGACTGATAACGATTACCGATAAAGAATTCCCTCAGATGACGCACATGGTGCGTCACTAGTTTCGAAGCTGTTAACGATCTAGTGGTTCAATAATCGCGAACCGAGCTCGAGCCAGACTTTATATGCAACAGATACCTGTCTGATGTTTATCGAGCAACGACTTGAAACCGTTCTGCTTTACGCACACCAATTATTCACGGTACGTGAGCGAATTAGCTAATTTCTGGCGGCGAACGAGACGGGCTGTTCATTTCATTTCTCGAGCAACAGATTTCTTTTATTTCCTCCGTTCGTTCGAATTAATTCATATTCTTTTCAACATATCGGAAGAAAACAGACAAACAATTTAACGATGGTTTAATAGAGTACGATCTCACAGAGATTTCAAACATTAGGTATAGTATATTATTACACGTAACTAGAACAGTTTTGTCAGTGATTCTAATAGAGCTTGTTAGCTATTCGGTGCAGGCATTATGATTTCAGACGGTCTATCCAGGTCTACAGGATACAGAACCAGGAACAAGCCTCAAGAATATCAAATCACGGAAAACCCGATTTACTTTATGCAATATACAGATTCTCCGACGCTGAGAGGTAAAACCAGCGAGTCTAAGGAATATTTAATTCTGCGCATTTCAGCCATGAAAGCGGCTGCTAATCCTCAAACGATCTTTCGTCAGGAGCTCCATTGAAAATTCGATGCCGGCTATTTCGCATGCCCTGCGCTTCGAATAGAAAATGCTACTTCCGTAGACGTTCTTCCGTCGACGTTCTACAGGGGTTAAACATAAAAGTTGTAAAATAAAGCAATCGTCCCTCTTATTAATTGTAACATTTTGTTGAATTTCAAAAAGTTATATCGAAATCTTTGTTACGCTGTTACGACAACCGATAGTAGGTGATCGAAGATCTGTCTCAAACTAACGGAAACACATGAATTTTATTAAACGAATGGAGCAGTCGATGTAAGCAAGTAAAACGAAAGTACCTGTGATTTCCGAAAGTATTTGAACACTTGATAGAAATTTTTTATGAATATAGGCATCATACCTGTTATATGAGTTATGCATTAGCAGTTTAATATCATACAACTGTTGCATGATTATAACGTTATTTACCGAAAATATATCTACACGTGATAAAAAATTAGTATGTAGCACGAATACAAGTTTTAATGATAGTAACAATTTCGAATCTTGTTCGATTTTTACGACATCCGATAAAGACGACATGTATCAAGAATCTTTGATATTTCAACGAGGGGCAGATCAGAGACACGCGTCTTGATCTCTGAAGAAATTTAACCGACAAGCACGAGATTGTACGAAAGGGGATGTTTTTCCGTAAAAACGTTAAGAGAACTTTTCTAGAAGAAGTTTTCTAAAAGCTGGAGCGACGCTGAACCGAGAAAAAGCAATACGGTTGCGATAGCGTAGGAAATGCGAAATTATTTGTTCTTTGCCCCTTTCTCACTCGGTGAAATCGTTGCAATTGTGTTGTAGAGGGGCGTAAACGCCAGAATCGCCGGAAACAATGCTTTGCGAGACAACAATGCTTTCGCTTGCTCCCAACTATCTTTTGAAGGAAACTAATTCGACCAAGGAACAACGGAGAATAGTTAAAAAGGACAGACAGGATGATGCTACGCGATTATTGTAACGAACAGGGGTTCCCTCTTTTCAACTTACTAAGAGATTCCTCATTTAGAGAGAAGTAAAACTATTCTTCGACTCTGCAGGTCTGGATACCTGTAAATTCACGAGTAGTTCAACTTCGAAGCGCTTCTATAGGGATTATTATAATACGTTATGTATAGTAGTCTTGATATTTATCTCGTGTTTGAATTAATAATCACCTCGTTTCGAGTGGTTAAATAGCATATTCACAAAATTGGTAATAAACAGGTTTAGCATGAAATTTATCGCGTTTACCAAGTGTACTATTCTGATTACTGTCTTATCTACCATTCTGAAACATCCGGAAGAATGCCGAAGTGACAAATCCAATGTTTCACCGTTCAATCCTTTCGATCAAGCAAATAAAAAATTCCATCGCGAGCCTTTTACCTTAATTGATTTTATAAATCGTCTGCATTAAATTATCGATCTTTCCTAATCAACACTTCCGTCTAAGATTGTAATACCCATATCTAATCGCGCGATATCCAGAGATTTGAACTAATATTTTCTGGATGTTAAATTACTCAGTGTCCAATGTGACATGAAAATTCGCTACTCCGCGCGTCGATCGAGCCAATTTGAAATTCCATCATAATCCACGATTTTTTCGTCTGGTTTCGCAAAACTTGTTGAACTCTGCCCCTTGTAGTTGCCGAGTATCCGTTCGCCACGATGCGACGCGACGCGATGCGACGCGATGTTCTATCGCATATATCGAGCCTGTGTATCCGGTTTTCGGACTAATAATTTTGCGGGTAACTTCCGGCCCGTGATTGCCCAGGAAACTACTAATGCGCGCACGTCCTACATACACACATATGTGAACATAAATGTATACACAGACGATAGCGGATCGAACGTTTCCGTAGTCGGCCTCGAAGATACACGCGAGCAATCGAGATTGCTTTTCGCGAGAAATCTTTTTCCCCACCTCTCTATCTGCGTCTCTCTTGCACAGCTCGGGAAAGAACATCTGGCGACCTATCTTTTCGTGATACAGACAACGAAGGAAATTGTTCGGAAATTCGTGGAAGGAAACTAAGAAAATAATGGTCGTCGAATCGGAGGGTGAACTTGTACTTAACCCATTAAGGACCAAGTACACGAATGATACGTAAAAGTTGTGTAAACGTAACATTATTGGAAAACGTAAGTGAAGTAATTTATATATTGCTTCGTTAAACCACAGTACGTGTACCACAGTACGATAATCCAAATGATTACAATGATCTAAATAATTACAAATGTATAAAATATACTCCGAATATAATTTCAGACGACGTTAAAAAACAGAACTTGATAACCTGAATTGTGTAGGAAAAAGTTATATCGTAGAATGAACGCAACACTGATCCTTAATAGGTTGAGGTTAAATACACGTTTCTTATATCTACTCTGCTATAATGTGTTCAAGAATGCGCAGCATATCGTTCGTTTTATAAACACGGAAGATTCACTCGCAATTACAAGTACTGGATTTTTATTTCGTTCTTTTTTCCAATAATTAAATTTTAGTCTTTCTAGTTCTTGAAAAACGAAAGGTGGAACATGGAACAGTTATTTCGAGCTATTTCGACAAATTTTTCACGCGGTATCGCTCTAATCTATCCCGTATCCCGACGAATCGCCTGAATCTCGGCACACCCCGAGATTTCTCCCACCCAAAATCGCGCTGTCTCGATCTGTTCGAAATTAGTTGGCAATTTAACCAAGGGATTCTACGCGAAAATACAGCTATTCTATGGTTCGCATACATCGGTCCGAATTACACCGGACCCTTTCTCAACGCACGTCAAAGTAATCTTTTGGCCGTAAAGAACTTTGAAGTCACTACGTATCGCGACCGATTTACCAACGTTTTTAAAGAAAAATTCAAGTGGATACCGTACCACGTCAAATCAGACGCAATGCGTCGTGCGCAATGAACGTGCTGAAAACACACAAATTTCTCTGTTAGAGTACAACTTTGTTCATAATTCTCCTAAATGAAAGGTTTTATCATTTATACCGTTTTTCTTCGTTTGTCCCGACCACTTCACGGACCTCTACAAGAGTGTAAACCGCACCGTTTTCCTTCTCTAAATAAAATTTGCAGCGAATTTTCATCGAAGATTTCGTTATTAAGGAAGAAAGGGTTTTCGAGCTTTTGAAGAAGGGAGGGGGAAAGAAAATCGATGTATCCAAATTGAAAGGGCGGGATAGGCGCGAATATCGGAGGCAGCTGGAATCGTGAAAGCTTCGGGTAAATATCCCGAGTGGTTGCGAGCTGCACCTACGCTTGGTCGATACTCTAAACGGGGAAAACGGGAAGATACTCCCTTTTTATTTAAAGCCAGCGAGACAGACGCAAACAGGAAAAAAGGGAGGTGGATGGATGGGTAGAGAATGAGGTGTATAGGTGGTGGAGGTTCCGTGCGAGGAGAAAGTACATCGAGCGAATCGGGATACGAAAACACGCGTGTGAATATTCAACCTCCGGAATATTCAACGGAGAGAAAAGAAAAAAGAGGAAAGAGGATGAGGGTTGAGGAAGTCCAGCCTCCCTTTCGACCGAGACACACACAGTTTGAAATTTCCAGCCGGTCTCCATGTGGAAGGGCCAAAGGTGGTCGGTGGAAAATGGTTGCTTCCTCTTTCGTTCCAGATATACTGAAATGGGGCGGAGCAGATGATTTTGTACGAAAGGGAACGATTTTGAGAATTGCGATAAAATGTCGTGTTAAAAGTATGGGTTCTATAATTTGTTATAAATGAAAATTATTTCAATTTCACTGTTTATCACGTCACTGGTAACGAGTTAAATAGCCTATTCTCAAACCTAGATTGCTTAAAAATTGTCCATAACTGAATTTGGCGAATTACAACGCGAATAGCTCAGTTGGATTGAAATATCCTATTAACGTAAATAACCTTACTACGATGATTGAAAGTTCCATTGCTACAAAAGAAAAACGAGAAGAAGATGTCTCTCGCGCGAAGGTACAGAGAATCTTTCCCTGAAAGATTAATAAGAGTTTACCATTCGCGTAAGATAAAGGATGAGAGATAAATGGTCCGTTCTTCTAGCTCTCCTTGGGTTCTTCATAGATAAGAATGTCGCTCAGGTGGTTTAGAGTCTAGAGGGATCGTATGTGTTAGTCGTACCCGTGACAGAAGTGGGCCGTGCGCGAGCGGTTAACAAAGAGCGTCGGTGGCTCGAAGAAATGGAGGATGGCACTTGCCGGAGAACTGGAAGCCTGTTTGCATAAAACTCCCATTTACTTCGTGAATTGCAGTGCGCGCGCATTCGCGACGTGACAAATTTTCGATATGCACACTTCTATTTGGACGTCCATCTCGTGGCTAAAAGTACAGCCCCGCTTCTCTCTGAACCCTGAAAATGCGCGGCTGCTGCGCCGCTACGCCGCTACACCGTGGCCGTTCCTCTCAAAACGACCCGAAAGCATCCGGATAAAGCGTGTCGTCGCTGCTTTCGATTCCTTATTTTCTTTTTTCTTCTTTCCTTTTCTCCTTTTTATCTTTGTTATTCGATCGATGAAACGCAAAGTTCGTTGAGCGTTGATTTTTCAAGGTATTAAATGGGATAGAGCGACGGGGAATTCTTTTGGTTCTGAATGTTTCGAGCGATAAAGAAAATTGAAGCTTGTTATTTCGACAGATTTGGAAGGTCCAGTGTTAAGTATACTGGCAGAGCTCGAACTGGAAGGAGTATCGCTTCTAAAATCGAAGAATAAAAACTGGATCGAGGTTACTTCGCGCGAACTGAAGTCCTCTACATACAATGTATTCGTCTGGAAAGTCGGCGCCACATGGCTTAGAGTGCAAGCGCTTATGATGCTTGTTCACCGTCGGTAGACCATCCAGCGACCTCGATGAAACTTGTACTTGAACTCTTCGATCTTACGCTTCCCTTATAACTTCTCGCTATTTTCCCGGGCTATACTACCAAAACATACACTATAACTACGAACAAGTTACACATACAATACGTTACCAACACTATTCTACACGATAAACGTTATCGATATTCCAATTACTGGGTTATGTAATTATCGAAATGTCGAAAAAATGCCTTATTAGGTACACACTAGAAAACAATGCAGTAGTATTATACATTTGATCCTGATCTGTGGATGGGTGGCCCAAAATTTTTAGGAGGTCGATTGATTTTCATTCCTTTAAATTAGTCACAAATAAATAAACATTCCTCGACAAGCAACTGTAATATTAGTCAAACTTCTGAGAGTTTTACTTGGAGAACAAGATGGAGAGCCACGAGGAAGACAATACTGGTGAAAAAGTGGTAATTGGTAAATCGTGCGATTCGAACAAGACGAAGTGCGGGCAGCTGGGTCAGTGAGGTAAGGAGTAAAAAAAAGTGGTGGGAGGGCTTTCGAATTTAAAGCCGGGAGCACGGTCACGCTTGTTAGAGTTCCGTGAAATTAAGTCCGCTTAACGAGTACGTAGCCGGGGAAATTTAACGAGCCCGAGCCATGCAACGTCGACCCGGAGAATTTTCGCAGCCACTGCGATGGCTGCGAGCGACGCGCTCGCCGAGTCTCTCGCTACCCCTCTGTTTCCCGGTAAAAAAGTAAAAGTGAAATCGTCCTAAATAGCAGTCGGCTTGGTTGCGTTGGTCGTCAAGTTAAATCGGTCGAAACGGGACGCGAAAAGTGAGCGTGGGAGATGGAAAGCCGGCGGTTCTGCGGTGATGAAAAAGAAGAAAAAGAAAGACGACGAAAAAACAGGAGGAAAAAGTAGGAAAAAGGAAAGCGTGTCAGTCGTTGACACGTTCTTTCGCGATCACACGACTGGAACAAAGTTTAAGATAGTAAGGTTGGTAAATCTGTTTTGGAATTTTCCATCGGAGATAGAAGTTCGACACGATCCTATCTTTCTTGGCTCTGGCTCGACTTATTAATACTTTTATCGTCTCCCTGTCGCGATCAGAATTCACTGAAAGATTAAGAGAGGATTCGAGAATAAAGGAGCTGGAGATTTCTTCGAAAGTTGCCTTGCAAAAGTCCTTCGTCTTCCTTCGTCGACTTCGCTTCGGCGACGTTCCAGTTGTACGTGGGAAATTTGCCTTCGAAAACTTCGAATGCATCTGGTTTCTCCTCGAAATGAACAGAAAAATCAGTATGTGAACCTGTAACATTCGTGTCTTCCAAGGTCGTTTGTTCCTTCCGTCTAGCACGTCTTCTCGATGGGGGTACCATGTACTACGTAACGTTTCAATTAGTTCGTCCAGATCTGAATTCGAAACTTCCGGATATAAGCCGTCTTTTCACTTTCTGCTTTTTAAGAATTTACGTATATGATTAATATCGCAGGATCCGTAAAATCTTTTTCCGTCTAATAATCAAATCCACAATTATTTTCGTACTAGAACTACCAAGACAGTGAAAATTAATAATTCGTATTTTTTCATAAAAATTTTACAGTGTGCTTTTTTATAAAATAGGTATAGGTGGATAAAGACTTGCTTTTTTGCTACTTTGTATAAAAAATCACCTGTCTACTTATACAATACTTGCTTTCATTTTGATCCTTTCGACGATAATTTTATAAGTATTATAATCGTCGATACCGTTCGAAATCGTCTACCGTTAAAAGGAACAATACTTTTACTTGAAAAAGAAGAGAAAAGTCGTATCTTACATCCGGAAGCTCTCATGGTCGTCGTTACACGTGTCCCCTAATGACCTAGGAAAGCAGAAAATGACTTGAACGACGGAGAATCGTCGAAATAGAGTCGTGATGCGTGTCGCGAAATTGACGAAGGAGCACTTTTCCGGGTCGTCTGATCGGAAAATAAAACACATTCGGCTGATGACTTCGGACGATCGATAAACTATGTATGTAGGTACTCCGGTGATCCTCTCCGCTTTCCTCCAAATCCTGACGCACTAATATCGAAATTGCTTACGCGAACTTCAGGCTGAAGGCGAGGAGGATAAACCAAGATTTGAGCCGGGCTTTTTCGGGACGGTGGCTCAGGAACAAAAGGTTCAAGATGCTCGAGGAAACGATGGATGAAATCATAGCTAGGATTACTCTTGATGAAACCGTATTAACGAAGGAACATACGAAAGCGATCAGACAACTTTGGATCCGTCTATTTCGCCACTACCAATCATTCCGTATCTAAGGATCGTCCAAGGACTGCCTTTAACGTGTAAATAGAAGATGTCCAAATGAAACCTGGTGACCACGGAAGGCCTAAAAAATCATCGACCTAAGATTTTTCTACAGTGCGCTTCAAGCACGGCAACCTAATCTCGTTAAGTTCCGAGCAACCGATAAATACATAGAATTTATAGAAACACCTTGACCATCCTAATCGAGGAATCGACTTTAAAGAGATATCCAATTAATCGTAAATCGGACAGAAAACATTCGTCAACGTCGTTCAGAAGAAGTTTCTCACGAGAACGCGGCATAAAATGCTTCGATCTTTGAGCAAACAGCAAGCTCCGCGCAACAAGTAGACAAAGTCCAAGCCGGCTAAAATGAGCCAGCCTTTCGTTCAGATGTTGATTCTGCTGCTATCACTGCACCAGCTATCGGTGTTGAGTCAATCGAAGGCGCACAGCGAGCGGGAAGCAGTGCTGATCCCTGGCGACATTGTTCTGGGAGGACTGTTTCCGGTGCACGAGAAGGGCGGCGCCTCTTGCGGGCCAAGCGTCTACAATCGAGGCGTGCAACGACTCGAGGCGATGCTGTTTGCCGTGGATCAGATCAACAAAGACAAGAAGATACTTCCAGGCATCACGCTGGGCGTACACATCCTTGACACCTGTGGCAGAGACACGTACGCGCTCAACCAGAGTCTGCATTTTGTTCGAGCATCTCTGTCTAATTTGGACATCAGCGTGCTTGAGTGTGCGGACAAATCCGTGCCCAGGGTGAAGAAGACGGCCAGTGCTGGGCCGATCTTCGGCGTTATCGGAGGTTCCTATAGCTCCGTGTCGTTACAAGTGGCAAATTTGCTGAGGTTGTTTCACATTCCACAGATCTCGCCTGCTTCTACCGCTAAGGCGCTTAGCGATAAGACCAGGTAACTTTGAACTTTCTCTTTTGCAAATTCTGCTAATCGTACCAAGCAAAATTGTTTCATTCTTTCTATAAGATTTTCTTAGTCGAAAATTTAATCTTTACGTTGCATAATTAATTTTTCTTACGAACGAATTACTTTATAGTAGATACATTGTAACAATAATTTTTAGTAAAGCGTGGATCCTTTTCCATTTTCGATAAATTTACCTATTCGAGTTTGCATACTCGTAGTCAATCTGTCTAGGAATTCGAAATTTTAGAGTAATTTTACAGTTATAAAACATAAGACGCAGTATACATATGTATATCCTCCAAAAGAACACGACTCACATCTGCAAGGTTTCCTCAAGGGACTCAGGCTTATACCAAGACTATATATAATATTATATATCCATCGATATGCATATTTTATGATAATTGTTCCAGAAATAACGAAGAAAATCCACGTTTAATCTCTCCATTAGGTTCGACTATTTCGCGAGGACGGTGCCTCCGGACACATTCCAATCGATCGCATTGGTGGACGTGGTGAAAAGTGCAAATTGGTCCTATGTCTCGACCGTCTACTCCGAGGGTAGCTACGGAGAATACGGGATCGAGGTGTTCACCAGGGAAGCGACAGAACGTAACGTGTGCATCGCGGTAGCGGCGAAAGTGCCTAGCGCCGCGGACGATCGTGTATTCGACGATATCATCCAGAGACTGAGTAAAAAACCGAATGCCAGAGCTGTAATTCTGTTTACCCGCGCAGAGGACGCTAGAGGAATCCTCGAAGCGGCCAGAAGATCCAACATGACAGCATCCAGTCAACCGTTTCAGTGGCTGGCTAGCGATGGCTGGGGTCGTCAAATCAAACTCGTAGAGGGTCTCGAAGAAGAAGCTGAAGGCGCTATCACGGTGGAGCTTCAGTCGGAGAACATTCCAGGCTTCGACGAGTACATGGCCTCGTTAACTCCGGACTCGAACCGTCGAAACCCTTGGTTCAGCGAGTACTGGGAGGAAGTGTTCGGTTGCGTTCTCAAAAAGAATATCAGGCTCGTAGGAAATCAAAATAGCACCATGTGCTCGTTGAAGCTTAGACTGACCTCGGAAACCGGATATGAGCAAGAGTCGAAGGTTCAATTCGTCGTGGATGCCGTGTACGCTTTCGCGTTGGCACTGCACAACCTTCAGAGGGACGTGTGCACGAAAACCAGCGGTTTATGCGCCGCGATGGCCAACTACGACCGAGCCCTATTCTATAGAAACTACCTGCTGAACGTGTCCTTTACAGGTGAGTTTCGAATTACACACTCTCATGCGCAAGAGTTACAGCGAACCCAAACGGCCTCCAAAGGCGGAATTCGATATTTTGCACGGCCTTCTGTCACTGCCTCGGGCTTTTCAATGCGCTAGAACATATTGCTATATTTGAGAATCGTGCATGTATTATACATATATTACGCCTGCATCCCTCATCCTCTTTGGTTCAACGGTTCACCTCTGATTCCGTATTCCGGTATTCGCGTATTAAATTTTTCCCCTTGCAACAAGGCGAGCAATAAACGCGCGATTCGCGCCAGGCTTTATAACGCGAAACCGATAATATCGACGACCCCGGTGAACAATAAACGCGGCAGAACGAATATATTCACAGCGGCGTGGTTCTGCGGGCCGATATGAAATTTTTCCGACCTTGACGGTTCTTGGCAGCCTGCTTTGAGAACGATGGATAATTCGCGGATAATCGGAGCATTTTGCGCTTGATTGAGTTTTATCGGTTACTTTCCCGGGAAGATAGCGGAATTTGCTTGTGCGACAGCGAAGGTTTTATGGTTGCCAGTATTCCGTCAATCCGATCACGATCTTTGCTTTCACTATTATATGAACTGACATAAACATAACAAAAACAGTCTTGGATTTAATCCTTCGGATAACAATGACCGAATCATTTTACTCATATACATCGATGTTCATAAGTATCAGGATATCTGCTATTACCATACAAATAATTAATCTAGATTACCAAGGAAATTGTTAACCTATCGAAAATTTATTGCAACCGTTTGCAAGAGTTACAAAAGCGCGTTGGTCCGCATAGTTTTCGGAACTGAATCGCATAGTATTGTTGCGAACAGAGTGATAAAATGTATTAGCGCTCAAAGATTTAACGAAATCAGTGATCCATATATCTTACACTATATTCTTGTATCAAATCATCCTCTAACCGCACGAAGGCTTGCAAGGATCGTGGAATGGACCAGACTGAATTATTCCAGGCATTTCTCCAGAGACCAATGCATTCCTAGATCGAACACGGAAAGACCGAACGCGCCGTGCCGTCCATTCTGGCCTCGTACCTCGATTCAGATTTCCTGACATGGGTATGGGCGAAACGAATTTTTGGCGTGGCCGATGGAAACGCGAACTAGAGAACGAAGGTTGCGGTGATTTTAGCTGCTTGAAATTGATACGAGCGTCGCGATGCCTTGCTCAACGAGGCGGGTGAGGGACGTTTCAATTCCAGACAAAGTACGGATCGTGTCAAATTTTTATCCTAAGAGCACACTGTGATAGAGACAGAGGAATGAAAAAAAAATGGCGAAAACGAAAATAGAAAGGGAGTTGATAAGTTGTTCGGAGTCAACGAATATAAATGAGTACATGGTCAAATAATTAACGTTAATTATACATAGTGATACTGATAAATGTATTTGCCGATAACTGTAAACATTTACCGATGATTTATTATTTTAAAATTTAAACTTACATTCTAGAAGCAAATTCTATTAACACGCATGGATGCTCGTACGGTGAACTGCGATGATTTAAAACGCGCTTTTACAATACGTAAAACTTTATTTTATTTCACTGTTATTATTTCTCCTGTTTCCTTTCCAAAATTCATCGGTAAAAGCCAGAATATTGTATTTATTTCAGTTCTGATTAATTGCACTTTCGATTTAACGGACTGTCACTCTAAAGTCAAAAACAGGGACGAAGATTAGAACAGACGAATCACATCGTGATTTCGTAATTTTTCGCTAGTGTGCGGCCGTGACGCTTGGGTGACAGGCGTACGAGGAAAGCGGCAGACAAGTACAGAGATAGAACAGAGAGGGTTTGATAATACGGAAATGACGAGAAGAGAGAAAAAGACAGACTGGAAAAAAAGTGGAGGGAGGTAGTATCACAAGGGGATCGTGCTGTATCGATCCTAAATGTGCAGTCCAAGGCCATTGTTTTTTCCCCGTTTATCAAACCAATACGTGACGAAGGTTTATGTTAAAGATGCATCGGCCTCAAAGAACAAAGTAGGTAATGCGGGAGCTCTCGCGTCTCGACATTCCTTTTTGCGATCTCCCTCGTGTTCAACCCCGTTTTTCTGCTATAGATTTACGTTCTCCAACCTTTTTTCTATCTTTTTTATTTTCCTCTTTTTCTCTCGTACGATCGGACGCGGTGATCGTTCGCGATGAAGTACACGTGCATCACGGTGAGTTCGAACGATATCTCGAGTCAAATCTGTTGGTGGTGCGGCCGGGGCCAACGTTATCGATTCGTTCGGTGGACGTGTGCACGTCGAGGGCGATTTCTACGAAATGACCAGGAAATAATGGCCCGGTTTCGGTGACTTTGCACGTTTTAGATCGATCCGCGCGCGGCGAGCTCTCTCGCCACGGGCGACCGGATGAATCGGAGATTACAACCCGTACCACAAAATGGATCGGAAGAAATTGTATTTTTGTCTCTTGTATTTTCTCTTCTTTCTTTTTTTTCTATTTTTTCTTTCTTTTTTTTTTTAATGCGCATGTAAATGAATCTATTACATGTTTTAGAGACTCTCTAACGAGACCGTGAATGCTCGTTCATTTTTAGAGTGAACGATGGGATGCCATAGCGTGTCGATTTTACGATTCGATGCGTATCAGTCGTGACTTTGTTGTACGTGCATGGCTGATTTTTAATTGCGTGGCAGTAATTGAGTCAGGAATATAGACTGGTCACCAAGGAGAAATATTATTCCAATTGTTAGGTGGCAAAGCTGTATGCGGTTGAGTTATGGGCCGAAGAAACAAACGTGTGGTACGCGGGGCACACGCCATAGTCTGACCTAATCTGATACACGCTGATATTACAATTTGTCTCGTGCAGCTAATGAAGGAATGCATTAGGCGTTTCCGCGGCTGATCACCGTTTGCTACCTTTGCTCTACGTAATAAAATTGCGAATTGACTGCTTTGAGCGTTGAAAGCTACCGCAATCTTTAATTTCCGTACAACTTGCAGAATTAGCAAAATCTTTATCATGCTTGACGTTTCGCGTTATTTCCCTTGAATCAACTCCTTGCCTGCATCGAGGAAAGAAAAACGCGCGAGCCGCTTACAATTAGAATAAAACCAGAGGAAGATCAGATAATCTCGATTTCAAACGTTTCTCGTTAATCAAGAATGATTCTTTCGAAATTATAAGCTTCCCATAGCTTTCACGAACGAAAGTGCTTACGTGCGTACTATCTATAATCATCGTGAGTTAATATAATAAAAAAAATATCAGGCAAAAGATGCCAATCAGTTCCAACATTAATTTACATCGAATAAAAAGGTTTTCTCGCTGTTAATAAAAAACGGGAGTCGTTGGAAAGTTTTCGCATTCCTCGCTCTTTATATCGTGTTAAAAACGCAAAGGGAAATATATGTATAATTTTAGTTTCCATCGAGTTATCTGGTAGAGACGAAGGTTGGAGGCAAGCACAATCATATGTCAATTACGCGAAGCGGAAGTGCGATAATTAAAAGTCGCATTGCCGTGATCGTGTCTGCCTGGATATATTAAAACTGAAACGAACATGCAATATGCAAATGAAATCGTCGCATTGGTCGCGTAAATCCGCTGTGCAAATCTACCGAAACCATTTTTCGTGAAATTAAATGTAGCGTATGGATCGCGATATGAGAAAAAAACATAAGAAAATGTATCGGAAATTGGGATTCCTGATAAAACGTTTTGTAATGTACAGGCAACAGAGGAAAATCTCTCCTTCCTGAACGGGGCATTAATCCTGTTCTTAAAACCACCGAACATCGCGAAGAAGAAACAGCTACGTTCCGCGGAACGGCTCGACGAATAGATAAAAATTTATAAACGTAACTGTAATCTCTAATCATCGAATTAAGACAAAACGTATTAGGACAAACGTACAAAAATTTCATTTCTTGAACATCCACTTCTTTACAAGTGTCTTTATACCATAGATTTTCACAGAAAGCAGCTGATTTTGTTTTAAAAACGGCGATACACACGTGTCTTTTGACTATCTGTTTATATTTCCTTCCATTTAAATGATTTTTCAACGACTAAAAATGGTGGCAGACTGATAGTATCAGATCTAAGGATAAAAAGATGAAAAAGAATTTTAAGTAGTTTTACATTTACATCTATTTTAAATTCATATAACATAATTGGCCAGAAGCAGACTTGGTTGTGTTCCATATCTAATTATTAAGATCTACGCTGACTTCTAGGCTCGGACAGAGGCCAATTGTTTTATAGATACAGAACAGAGTTCTTGGAAAATGATTTTATCGAGAGACATTAAACTTCGCTCACACTTCGTAATTGTACTAAAAGGAGAAAGATTAAGAATTATGAATAATTCTAAATGTACGACTAGGAACTATGATTATAGGCTGCAGTAGAGCGAGAATCGGTGTTTAGATGCATCTATACACGCTCTCGAACTTAACGCCGATTTACGGGAGCATGAAATTGATTAAATTACTGTTATCGCTTTGCCCCTACATTCTCTGTATTTTACTGTTAGAAATCGTATCTTTTCTCAGCTTCCGCGTTCTGGAAATACAAAAACGAACTCACGAGTATGATGTTTCAGACACTGCTGGCAGCGAGGTAAAGTTCGACGAGCACGGGGACGGGCTGGCGCGGTACGAAATCCTCAACTTTCGGAAATCGGCAACTAACGGGACTAATGGATATCACTATCGGGCAAGTAAAAGTACTTTTGACTTTTTTCCATCGATTAATTGGAACTTGTCGAAATACGGCCTCCCTGCTCTCTTTTCTCTCATTCCCCTCCTTCTACCCTCTTTAGCATCATTCTTCGTCATCGTTCCCCAGAGCCGGAGGGCAAACTTCCCGCGAACTCCAGACTCATCGTCGGGTGAACCGCTTTCGGCAGTTTTACGCTCATTCGAACCTGGTACAATATCGAAATTGAAGTTCCTATTATTGGATTTGGCGAATTTCAACGACCGGTAGAGATAATTATCCTTCCTGAAACTTCGGGGGAGTGTGAACTGCTATAAATTGAAATAATTTCCCGATCCTAGGAAATTAGCTTCGGTTACACAATTGAATTTTATCCCCTATTCCTTGTACACTTCGTCACTTTTAAGCTCTTCTAACCTGTTTCTTCAGAGGGTTTCACGAAATTGATTTTCTTCTTTGAGAAATTGGATTTAAGGTACTTTTACTTGAATTTGTCCTTTTTCCATTCTCTCAAATTTGTTCACAAACTTTTGTAAATCGCACTTTTAAATTACTTCGCCTTGCTGACAAGTAATGTTAAATAATTGACCTTTTCCATTTCTGAATCATTTTGTGCGTTATGTTCTTTTTTAGGTTTTTATACTTTCTCTGTATAGCTTTTTAACCTTCTATAGCTAGAAACTAACAAAACCAGAGAGTCTTCCCTTCTTTTTCCTTTTATAGTATTTCGAGTATTAATTCTTCTTACAACGGCGTGATAATTCTTCTTGGAATAATTCTTCTTGGAACGGTGACAGCATCCGTCTTGGATGACGTCCTGAAAAGTATCATTTCGTCTTGGTGATCGCCAAAGTCGCTCATGACTCTTCACACCTGTCCATATACTATTTAAAGATGATAAAACGGCTAATGGGACAACTGACGACACAGAAGCAAAGAGACTTGCCTCTCTCGCTCACCATCATTACTCTATGATCTTATTTGTAGATGTGAAACCAATATCAACTACGTACGAGAACGAAAAGTCAGAACTCCAGTCCCTCGTCTGTTGTATCCAATTAACGATTGTTTCTCGATAAAAATCGTAAATCAACGTAAAACCGGGTGCACCGGTCGTGTTTCCAGCGATAAAGTAGCGGCTGGACATAAATTGCAACGTGACCTTCGCTACGTCCGCCTTCCTACCGCTGGATGCAACTTACAGGATGAAATATAACCTTTGCTCGACGGAACAGGTAACTCTAAATTGTCAAAGAACGCGAGTTTTATTGCACCAACGTTCTGGCCATTTATTAAAGAAAAAAGTGAAAGAAAAAGGAAAAAGAAGAGGAAAAAAGGAGACCGTCCGTATATCCACGGATAACGGGTGGAGTACAATCTTTCCCCCAAAAATTCCCACGCGAATTCGTATTTCAGTCCCCGTACGAATGTATATTTCATTATCAAAGTGGAGTATCTAAGTTGCGCAGCGACGCGTTTTATCCGAAACATCCATCTCGAAAAATGAAAATAACAACACGCCTCCTATCTTTCGATCGATCGCAGGTCAAATAAAAGAATTTCCTCCCCAGAGAACAAACTTTCCAATTTTATAAATGTTTCTGTCAGAACGCGCCTACGACAGACATCGAGTAGACAGAATTGAAATCGTGTATCGTTTCGAGCATTCACTCGATTGTCCATCCAATAGAGTTCACCTGAAATTTCGACGTCGATTAACGCCTATGTTTCGAACGTGTTACTACTATCGCTTTTCACTACCAATTTTCACGCGATCGACAGGATACAGATCCTACGACATCCTAAATCGCATTCATCATATCGTTCGCGACACTCGACGAGAAGATGGGTCGATCGATCGGTAACGATGGAAATATCTCTCGAATAGGTGGTAGGAAAATGGTTCAACTCATTGGATATTCGCACGGAGGAACTGGTCTGGGCACGAGGCACCAAGGATCTACCAATCTCGGCATGCTCGCTACCCTGCGAGTCAGGTATGATAAAGAAGCAACAGGGTGACACTTGTTGCTGGGTGTGCGACCAGTGCGAGGAGTACGAGTACGTCTACGACGAGTACACCTGCGTGGACTGTGGCCCGGGAAAATGGCCACACGAAGACAAGAGGGGCTGCTACGAGTTGCCCATAAACCACATCAGATGGAACAGCGCGTTTGCGATCGCGCCAGCGGTGATTTCGTGTCTTGGAATTGTGGCCACCCTTGCAGTCGCGTGTCTATTGTTCCATCATAGAGACACACCCGTAGTTAGAGCGTCAGGACGCGAGCTTACGATCATTTTGCTGGCTGGTGTGCTCGTTTGTTACCTGAACACGTTCCTGTTGCTAGCAACGCCTACTACAGTTACCTGCATTCTTCAGAGGTTCGGTGTGGGGGTGAGTTTCAGTGCAGTTTATGGAGCACTGTTGACCAAGACGAATAGGATCGCCAGAATCTTCGATTCTGCATCGAGGTCGGCCGTTCGGCCAAGGTACATTAGTCCTGCGTCCCAAGTCTGCATCGCGGCCGCGCTGATCGCACTGCAGGTAAGAGAAAAAAATGAAGCAACTGTTTGTCGTCTATTGAATATAGCTCTTTGATTAACACGTTCGTTATGGATTTTTTTCATTGCTTACAATACTGATAAATAACTTTTTCATCTGTAAATCGTGCGGAATTGCGCTAACAACGGGATACATCTCAGAAAATATTCTTCGTATAAATATAATTGAGTCTTAATATAATGAATCTTAATGCAAGAGGCATCCTCGAAGTCATTTTAAAGGGGATATTCTAGCTTAGAAAAACATCTTTTACATCTTTAGCAATCGAATCAGTATTCGATGTATTCACATTTTTGAGTATAACTCTGATCCACGTCGTATCCATTGAAGATGTTAATCTCTTTCACCGAAACCGTAATAAATAAATAACGAAACGGTTCTGAAATTGCCAATCGTGTTGTATCTGTGCTTTCATGATATCAGGTGGTTTTGACCCTGGTATGGATGATCATCGAACCACCGGGAAGAAGATTCTCCTACCCAGACCGCAAGCAGGTGATCCTCAAGTGTAATATCCAGGACATGAGCTTCCTCTTCTCCCAGTTGTACAACGCGTTGCTAATCCTAATCTCAACAGTGTACGCGGTGAAGACACGGAAAATACCGGAGAACTTCAACGAGAGCAAGTTCATCGGCTTTACTATGTACACCACCTGTATCATCTGGTTGGCATTCGTGCCGATCTACTTTGGAACCGGAAACGCACACGAGACTCAAATTACCACACTCTGCGTGGCGATTAGTTTAAGCGCCACGGTGACATTAGTTTGCTTATACTCGCCAAAGGTGTACATCATCGTCTTTCAACCGGACAAAAACATCCGCAGGAAAGTCACTATGGGCGATAAGTCTAAGAAGCAAGGGAGTAGCGCGGGAACCTCTTCTATTACCAAATGTGAGTAAATATTTGTATCGAAGAACATAAAGAAAAGGTACCAGAGTCGGGTGAGACTTGCGCATATCTTATTTGAAATAACCGTGTAAATGATACGGTTATTACAGTTTATACGGTTCCAGACATATTTCGTCACGTAAACAGAAATGTTCAGCTATGTGAAAAAAGTGATGCTATGATTTGTACGTACATCGATTAACGATGAGAAACGTCTAAGCTTCACACTCTCGTTACTATTCGTAATAAACAAATCGTCTAGCAAAAATTGAGGCAAAAAATCATGCATATGCATAACAATTACTTCCTTTTTTTTAAATTTGTTAGTGATATGACGTTGAGTTGAAAATAACTCAGAGAGTGTAGTTGCGTAAATTTCTAATACAGACTAGAACCCTTTCCAAACATATAGAATTCTAATATTTATGTAGAATTGCGCTGCTTTCGTATCGTCCTGTACTTTGATCAGGAAGAAGCGAGAATTTTGAAACGTAGAAAATACAATGCGTATCGAGTCTACATTGTCAGCAAATCAACCTTGATAATATCCTTTCATCCGTTATCCCGACATCTCACGAAACGAGACATATCCTTTCAGCCAACAATCTATTAAAGCTAGATCCCATTGTGGAGAAAGATTAAGATTTACATTTGGAATCCAATAAAACCTTGGCACGCTAAACGGTCCCATAAGACGTAGAGACGTAACCGATCGATTACACCGCGCGAATATAGTATTCGCGGTGCTCCATTTTAAAAGAAGTCGGCTTTAGCCTCGGTTCAAATCTGCCTGCGATGATAAAGGTGGCTAATAATGCCCGAATCCGCTGACTCGATTCGCTCGCAAATTACGAAGCCTCAAACACGGTAGTGAACTCGGCTCACTGCCAACACCTTGCACCACCCACGGCTCCGCTCTCTTGACCGTACGTCGCACATATTTTCTTTGTACTCCGCACTTTATCACGACACGGAGTCGATCAATTTGTTGGATCTTCAGATGTCTGCCATGGCACAACCTTTCTATCGAGGAAACGTTGTTTTGTCCCGGAGCATTATAGTTATTCTAAGCCTGAAACAGCTACGACGCCTAACCCTTTCATCAATGATTAAAATGACGAGGTGCTGCAATAACCGTGACGCAAAATTTCAGAAAACCTTGTCGTATACATGTACAATGTACATGCATATATTCCCTGTGTGGAGTAAGTAGATTGGTAATTAATTAGAAAAGGACAGGTCTCGTAGATTTCATTAATCTTGATATGTGTATATTGTCAATATTCTGAGTAATTACTCTTGTACTCGTACATAAGTAACCGCCGCGCCGTTTGATTTTAATTTCCAAGATGTGCATAAAAATATTTCTAACAAAATGTACTGTATTTTTTAAAAATGGGATAAGGAACCTTTGGATAAGGAATTCGTATTTCACGGTTAGGTCTCCTAAAACAAATCTCGATATTTTCTACCGCGATCGAATCTTTTTAGATAACGCGAGGCGACCGACGAACACGACAAATGTGTAACTCGATCTTTTATCGGATCTTACTAAGGAGAATAACGTCTGACGTCGTTGAGGAATCGCCAGGGATTCTCGAGATGTAAATTTCGTTTCGACGACTCTCGATCGAGAGAAAGATCGACGCGTAATTCCAATTTTCTGCATTATGTTTCATCCGTCATCGTCGAGGTACTCGAGTTCCTCTGGTAGAAGAAGATGGGAAACTGGTGTGCAGAAAGAATCGCAAACAGTCGGTGCTTGACGCTAATTTCCTTCCTCGCGTCAGCATCGCGTTTACATATTGGAATATCAGCTTGGGAAATTTTACGGCCGATTCGGTTCGCCCGAAGGGGAAGACAAAATAGGCAGAAAGAAGTCAGAGAGCTGAAGGAACTCTCGCGCAAGTATTTAATACGAAATTACGTACGTCATCTTGCCTAAGTGACCATAATATTTCCCGGCTATGATACTTAACGTGAATCCGATTGCCAGTGGTGGATCGACTCTCGTTCAATTTCCGTATGGAAATCGATTCTCCCATTACCACTGTCTATTGTAATTACGGACTAGTTACACAGCCGGGCGGCACGGTACGGCGTGTAATCACTGGGGATTATGGCCGGGGAAACGATAATGGCCGGAATTGTTCATGCTACGCTAAATTATTAAGTTAATTCTTGGATCTAGCGCAGTCACTTACATTTATCTTTGCCTCTCGGAATATTTTCAAACTTGCCACCTAAGGTAGCAAGAGATAAAACAAGGTTGAAAGGGAGAGAATTTTAGCCGTTCAGTACCTCTTCCGTTAGTTAGAGGGTCTCGTCGGTAGTGCGGAGATGTGAAGTTTCATGGAATTCAGGTGAGGTAATCATCCATCGAGTCCACTGATCTTTGGGAAAGTTTAATTAGAATCTTGCTTAGCAGTGTAACTACCAAACCCGTAAAATTGGTAATGGGTTTCGAATTACTAAAAACTTGTATGTACAATTTGAAAATATTTATTTTTAAAAAGATGTTTTCAAAGCTTCCTTACAATTAGCCTTTTACATAACGGCTTGCGGCTGCGTCTGTCTAAGCTTAATCTTCGCCATCAGTCTCCTAGTTAATCGTATGATCGGGAAAAGTCATTTCGTCGCGACATGGTACACATAGTACTTCTGTGGTTGCAATTTACGTAGAATTTCGTGAGAATCGTTAGGTGGTGATTTGTAACTGGCATTGATTGTTCTAGCCCTTTTGCTCTTCCTATATTTTACCGAATATTACGGGATAACAAAATTTCAAAAGATTTAAGCGATGAGCGTTTCGCAGTCCGCGTTGAAAATTCGCCGGGAAATTTCGTTAGATCGTATTTAATAATTTCATAAGCGTACGCATGCATTTCCACATAAGTGTTAGGATACCAACTAATCTCTTAAAGAATACGATAATTGATCTAAATTATTTTAATTGGTTTAGATTAATTGGTTAGAATTTTGTATTTGTATAAATGAATTAACGTAATCCTTAAACTGTGGGTGTTCCATGCCCGGGCTATACATGTATATACATATATTTCGACCGGATTGTATTTCTCGCAAGATAGTAGGTAAAAAATATTTTCCCCCGCCTAAAAAGAAGTTATTGGGTAGGGAAACCTATGTTTACAAGGACAGATATCTGCGTCAGTTTATCATCGAACAACGGTGATGTGGAACCTACAGAGGATACAGAATATCCCCGTATACATTTTGTGTAGGTAAATCACAGGCTTCTGTCCTGTTTTAGCTGCGGACAATAGTTTTGTTGATAAATTTATATTGTGATTAAATTTACGTATAAATTATTACAATTATTATTTATGTTTTTGCATCAGTTTTTATAATAAAGTGTTTCTATTTGAAGACTAAATATTTTTCATTTAACCCAGATACCTTTAAAAATTAGGGGTATTCAGGCCGTAAAGTTAACTGTTTAATTTTAAGCAACAGGTGCAACGTATTTTTTGTTTATCAAAGTATGATCCTTAAACTGTAATTTTCCGGTTTCTTTTACTTTATAAAATTTTGTACTTCGTTGTATTTCGCATGTTTTACTTTGTATTCTTTACGATATGACTTATCTAATTAAATTATTTGATAAATGTTTTATAATAACCTTAATTTAGAAAGTTTCAGGATGTCATATCAATATTTTTGAACTCTTTTAACAAGTATTAGCTACTGAAAGATCCATCGAAAAGATCTACGTCTACAATTTGAGGATATCGTAAAAACGTTTAGAGTCTAAGGGTTAAATTATGATACCTTTAAACCATACATGCGATATACGAAAATTTCTACATCGCCTCAAGTTCCAAATCCCATTATAATTCTTAAAAGTTCTAATTTAAGGATTTATCAGATTTGCTTTCCTTCTTTGCAAGTGCCCTAATATGATAACGTAGAAAGGAATATCCATCCATGGTGCTAGCACTATATGGATTAGCACGTCGAATGCGTTAATTTAGAAATATTCTGGCGACTTTATTGAACATTCTGACGTTACTAAAGCGAGATTCCTGATTTTGTAGCCAAAGAAGACAGAAAACTAGTCCTTGATGGTCTCTGGCTGGTTCTCGTACAACCTAAAATCAAGGCTGCTTCTTGCCAGATCGATCAGTCGGAATGTATTATTAACTGCGTATTAATTATCCGTTCGTTACCGGAGGAGCCGAAACACGCAGTTAATATTGCATAAAGAGAAATACGCTATTACTGCAATCGAACCTCTTAGCGCTAATTACGATCGACATTTTTCGCTCTCCAAGCAGAGCTGAACTCGTCCTTGTTCGCACCATCGACTAGTATCAACGCCAGGGAATAACAACGTTTCTCTCTTCTCTCTTTTTTTTATCTCTCTCTCTCTCTCTCTTGTGTTTTTTTGCTTCTGCCTTTTAACTCTTTTCCGTCACAATCTTTCTTAACCTTTTTTTAACCGCGAACAATCGATACGTCACGCTACTCTTGTTTCACGTGTCTGAACCGATACGACCGTAATTTTAGACATTTTTCCTCTTTGTCCTGGACCATTTTAGCACCTCCTTCGACATCGCACCAATCTTTAATAGCTTTTCCTCCTTTTCTCGTTTTTTTCCTCTCGACCTTTTTACTCTTTTCCCATGGAAGGTTTTTGCTCAATAGTTAAATCGCTTGTTTATTCTTTTTCTATTTTTCTTTTTTTTAATATCAAACAGGAGGCTGAGTGAAAATATGGAAAAATACAAGAGCATTTTTTTTAAAAACGAGATGGATACAAGACATGATACGTAACATCCGTATTTGGGCTTTAAATATACCTTAGCCTAAATGATTTTTCTCATATTAACTCATCAAGATACACGCAGAGATTTGACGCGTTCAACGAATCAAAATTTTTATTAGTATTTCCGATATCCACTGTGTGATCCTCATAGAGTGTTCCTTCCCAAACACTACATTTAACAGTACATTTCAATGGATTTGGTAATTCTAGTGTTAACGAGTTAAAAAGGAGATACCTATAACGTATCATTTGTACCAGTTTTCCTTTGAATTTCACAATTTTAATTATTCGCAAAGAAGTTATTTCTTTGAAGCAACATAGATATAAATTAGTCACGAGAAAAAGTAAAGAAGGTTTCCAGATAGTCACTGCCCAAATATCAATTCCAATTAAAACAGTTTAAGTCGAATGATCGTAGGAGGTTTGGTGGCGGGCACAATGGCCGGCACTGACGTTTGTTCTTTCCAACTCCGAGTTAAGTTTCAAACTAATAGTGGAAATTTTCATTTCCGAGCGCTGTTCCAGGAAGTTTAAACTGCTTCCCTGAAAGCCAGCCCACACGACCCAGACTTTCATTGCGCCTATTGCAAAATATCTGAACTTTCCCTAATTATACAACACTACGTCGTTGTTCTTCGCGAAATTAGCGCAATTTTCACAAACAACTCGTCAATTCCAACTTACCTCGTCGTTTTCTCTTTCCTTTCTTTTTTCTCCCCTTTTTTGCTTTTTCATGCAACGACGTGAACGCTTTATTCGTGTTAATCGCGTGCAATTGCGAGTAGTACTCGACGAATCAAACGCAGGATTTATGAAAAATGGGAAGTTCGTTTAAAATGAATTAACTACTTAAATGGCGTTTTCCATCTTTAAAACGAATGGTAGAGGAGCGAGACGTTAATGGGGCTTTAACGGTCAATAAATTTTACACCAGCTGTCGTAACATCCTCCTGTGAAAATGATATTCAACTTAATAACCCTGACCGATCGTAAATGGCATTCCATCCTCCCATTAAAACCTTCCTTGTCCCCTTTCAGAAGCCCCATCAACCAAATTGCCAAGTACCTCGTGTACAATCACTCGAAGTGACGTACATTGGTACATACTGTTGCAAATTAAATTTTCGAGAAGCGAAACTAATTGATATAGTGACACCTAAAGTTATACGACACCTAATTTTACAAAATTTCATGCGATCTATACGACATTTAACATTGGTGGTACAATCGTTTCATACATGTTATTTTACATTGTTTTATAAAACTATGCAATATAATCTGGAAAAAGTTTCATACGTCGAGATGCCAAATTGAATAAATTGCGTTAAAAGCTTTAGCTTTTTGGTATTACTAACATTATTTGTAATATTTTTAATATTAAATTTCGTCCATTTTGTATAAAAAAAAAATACATACACAAGGCAAATATAGAGCTATATTTATATTTAAAGAAATATGTATAGAGTTTTTTCAGAAAACTTCTTAATTATACAAAGAGCTTCTGATATATTATGAATTACAATCGTAGTACGATCTATACATTTCAGACACGGGATGTGAACTAACCAGCGAGAGCATGCCTCTCCAGAGTGCACTGACGGCCGCGGTACAGACGTCTGTAGGCGTGACGGAGATCTCCCTAGCGTCGAACACATCGAGCAAAACTAATAACGAGCAAGTAGCGCAGCTGTAGAGAAGCGGGCTGTAATTCAGATTTGAGGAAACGCGGCATTCTGGCGGCCGGCCAACCGATAAGACCTCCGAGTCCGCTGAAGGAGGACCACGACACGTGTGAATAGTGCGAATTCGTGCTAATAAGAAAAGTATGTATTTCGAATACGGTGAAAAAGTTGCACGGCAAAAAAGCAGTCGTGCAAAGCGGACGAAAATAATGTGCGTGCGTGTGCGTATGTGTGTGTGTGTGTGGGTGTGGGTGTGTGTGAGATAAGGGAGTGACGGGAAAAGTCACTAGAGCCGGCTTAACGAAGGCACTTCCGATTCTTCCTTCTGTGCGCACTGCTGGTTCCTACGATACGCCTTCGATCCTCCACGGCCATGAGCAAGCTCGACTTCCTTCCACGTAGATCCATCGTACGATTAAAAATTAGGGATCTTGGATCCCAAGAGTGGAGATAACGCGAAGAGAAGAGAGAAAGACATGAAAGAAAAACGCCGTGACTACGTCGTATGTACATACGCTTAGATTACTCTGTTTATTACTCGTGCACGAAGTGTACGATATTACAAGATATGCTAACATCGCGATATATATGGAGAACTGTTTATAAGCGTTATTACGAAAACCTGCGTTGCATATTATTCGACACAAATATCGGTACTGTCGCTGTCGTCTTCGTTCGTTCGTTATATCGAGATCATTCGTATCGCGATCGCTGTTGTCGTTATTGTTACTGTTAAAACGGTTATCTTTGTGAATAATATATATGAACGATATACGTACACAGGCACGTATACGGATATTTATATTATATGCCAATATAGGTATAGTACACACGCGATCTGGCTGGCATGAGTTTGAAAGTCTAAATATGATTAGTCTCGGCAACGAGATCGAACGAATCGGAAGTCAGCATCGTTGACGACAGCTAGAGGAGAATTCGCAGAAAGAATTCGAATAGCGGAGAATATCCCAACAATTATCATCCACAGGCGAATGAATTTTACAATGTTTGTATCTGTTATTGGCTTAACGAGCTGACTAATTGGTACAATTAAAGCGGCGCGTTCGGCCGCGTATCGACGATTAAATTCGATTACGATTAATAATGATGCGATCGAATAGAGTTTTCTCTCTGGTATTTAGCCGAGTATTTAACCGAGACTACGCTAAATGTTAAATCGTTGGAGTACCTGCATGCGCACACTCGTGCGTATGGGTAACTCGTGCCAGGAATTACTCTGTCGGAAAGGGTTTGCTCACGCATATGTAATTAGCTTGTTGGAGTAATCGACGTTCATTGTCCACGTTCTTCCCACATAGATCGTTGACGAAGTAAAGAAGAAAATATTTACATTCCGTGAGATGTATATATATATATATATGTATGTATATATGTATATATATATATTATATATATACTATTACATAAAGTACTCGCGTACATACAGTCACATACATATACAAATAAACACACAAATACAGTTCTATCGTTGCACGAGATATTATGTGTTTGTTTTCGGCACACGATTACGTAAGTTGTTCATTTTCCTCGCAACTAGCTGCAATTAATTCGGGAGGATCGTTCGTTATAGTTGGAAACGAAACCAAATTTCCACTAAAAGAATATCTTTCGTTTTCGAATTACTTCCCGCATTTTTTGTATGGATTTGAGTTCCTAAAGGACATGAAATTGTTTCGATTACGAGCTAGATCGTTCCCTTAAGATTGTTATTATTTTTTAGCGAGTAATTGATATCTTTAACGAGTTGAACGTTTCAAATGTTTATTTCTGTTGTTTATTATAATCGTAAAGCGTTCGGATCGCAAATATGGAATTACCAGCAGTCAATAAAAAGAGGCGTAAAAGAAGTGCAATTCCATAGTCTGCCGTACGACACTTTAGAACAATAACTGGAGTACAGAGAGAACAAGGGTGACAAAGGGAAAGAGGATATGAAAGAGAAGAAGAAAGGGACAGGAAAATGACGATGACAGGGAAAGATGAATGGCGGAAAATTTTGAAACTAGGCCGACTACGCGATGCGTGGATTCAATATACATTTCCTCCATGAATAGTAGACAATAAATAAATCGCTATAAGGCGAACTTCAACCTGGTTCGATCAATATCAGGATTTACACTCGACCTGTTCGATTAACAACACCACGATTTCGTTCTCTGAGGCGACTAGTGGCATTTAGTTTTTTGCTGGAGGCATGTAACGCAGGAAACATAAAAGACGACTATTGAATCGTATGAGAAATCTCGAAGACTATAATTCCAAAATTCATTTAACGATCTGCAAAGATCGAACTATTGATAAGAAAAATCGAGATATAGAGAAAGTTAGATTGTTACACTTGTAATTATAATCTTCGACGATTATACGCACGAATGAAAGCACGATTGTTACGAACGAACAAAATTTTGTCGTTATTAAAAAGGAGAATGTAAGGAAAGATTGACACGATGGGGAATTATAGTTCGAATGAATACGATGCATCATACAAAAAAGATAACTTTGTATCTTTTATTATAACACCGATCATTGAAATAGATTTTCCCCGTCAAAAGGAATTCTGGCATTTTATTATTCGCTCTACTTGAACATATCTCCTCCCTCTCCCCAATTACTAATAAAACAAAAATTAATTAAAATTTAATTGCGAGTCCGTGTTAATGTAAGAAAATATTCATCACTTGATAGAAGCCCAATTAAACGTATCATCAATCTCAATTCCAATCCCTGCGTTAAAATTGACAAACCCGTGTATTAAACTCATAATCAGCAACAAAATATATATTATGTATGTCGGGTGTACATTAGAATTAGGGTTAGGGGCGTAAAGCGAATCTTCGTTTGGATTACACGTCGTCGTTATGCAATAGAGAAGACATTGGCTAGTGCAAATACGATTACCATAGAACCGGACAAGTAACCGTGGTAATTAGATACTCGAGAGACTAATGACAATGATCCTAGGTTCAATAACGAATCCGCGGACAACGGGACGGTAGTCGTACGCACTCGCAAACTCTAAGTCGGATTCTGTGTTAATATTCGCTGACCGTAAGGAGT